AAAGGGAACTAGAAACCCCAAACCTGCAGGCCAAATCTGCTAGAAAATAGTAAAAAAACCCACTATAAAACTTGCTCCATTTGATTTGCTGAGGCCTTAGTGCCTGGAGGGCCTTCTGCCAGGCCCTTCTTCATGAGGAGCTGAGATTTAGGGAAACACCCCAGACCCCAGATGTTTTATAATGGGAGTTTTCTTAGAATTTAATTGAAGTGTAATAGCATGGTGGTTCAGTGATCACTGCTGGGAAAATAAGCATAGGGGGATGTGAACTGTGTGGGGGAGAGGCTGTATTACTCCAGGGGGTCTGGACCCTCTCTGTGTCCTCTGCTCTGCCCCTGCTGTCAGGCAGCAATCTGGCCCTCAGCCATGGGCAGGTTGCACGGTGTGGGGTGGCTGCAGGGACACACAGTCCTGTCCTGAGCAATGTGGCTGGCACCCAGAAAGGTTCAAGCTCTGGAGAAGGGAGGCAGCACATGCTTGGCACTGCATTTCACACCAGCATGGATGTTTTTGTTGTTGCAGATCATCGGCTACCGCCCTGGCGCCGGGGTCCCCGTGAGCGTGGAGTGCAAAGTGCAGGTACTGCTCTCCTCTGTGCCCTGCAGGGTGCTGGGGACAAGGACAAACCTCTCCTCCTCCTGAGGGACCTCAGCTCAGCACAACTTGTCCTCATATTAGCCCCAAACACTCAGAGGACCCAGAGCTGCCCGTGTCTGGGCACAACTGGAGGGCAATCTGCTGAGAATGACAAAGGCACCACTCTCCTGCTTCCCAACCTGCTCCTGCAGCCTCATGGGCACCACCATGGGGCAGCCTGCAGGCTGGGTGCCAGCTCCCAGCTGGAGCCTGGAGCTCAGTGGGAAGATGTAGGAACTCCTCATTTCCATCTCCAGCTGCTCTGCAGCACCCTCAGTCCTGGGGGCACCCTGCAAGCCAACAGCAATGGGGTGAAGGAAGGGTTCCCCCTGCTCAGGCAGCTGCTGGATCACACCCTTGGAGAGCAAAGGTGCAGCAGGGAATCAGCAGGCAGCAAACTGCAACCCTGCCCACGGCTCCACAGCTCCACTCTCCCCTGGCTGGAAGCAGGGCAGTGACTGTGTTCACAACAAACACAGCACAGCTGAGCTCAGCCAGGGGCTGCCAAGGGACATTTGCTCTGAGACAAGCTCTGAGGGGACCTGTATTTTGTGTCCCATGTCCTATGTCCGTGTGTGCCTCTGTTTTTTTTCTGATCACAGAAAGGCAATGAGAGTCACCTCAGGTCAGTGGATTTCTACCCTGGAAATGGAACATTTGACCTCATGTATTATCCCTACTATGGCAAGTTCACCCACGTGAGTGAAGGGCTGGCATCTCTTTCTGCTTCCTTGGGAATGGGAGGGCAGGAGCTGCTGCACAGGCTCCAGATGTGCTGCCAGGCTATTTCAGGCAGATGTGGGCAGGACAGAGGCTGTGGGATTACAGAGCTCTATTTCTGTCTCTGACAAACTGTGTGTAACACTGTGTGAGTGTGTAACTGTGTGTGTAACCCTGTGTGTGAGTGAGTGTGTGTGGTTTTTAGGACAGCAGAAAGCATTTGTGAGTCCCATAGTGTGGTGCTGTCCTGGGCAATGACCCCAGAGGCAATGTGCAGTGATCCATCTTGCTAAGGCACAGGCAGAGAAAGGCTCAGCATGCTGGAACCATGAACCACTTACAAATTATTTCACTGAAAATAAAAACCCTGCTTGCTTTTCTGCTCCCTCAAAAATGACACTTAAATCTCCTTTCTTTCCAGGTCAACTACACCTCCCCACTGGTGGCTATGCACTTTACAGATGTGCAGAGGAATCACTTGGTCCCCATCCAGTGCAGTCTGCATGGGAAAGGAATCATCAATGACCTGAACAGCGACCGCTTCCTGGGCCGGATCATCTTCACACTCAGCATTGGGAAGTAGCCCCTGCCAACTCCAGGCACTTAGGATAAGTCAATCAGAGGCTTTTTCCTTTTTAAAGCATCAAGCCAGCATTTTTTCTGCTAGGAAAAACAGGCACATGGAGATTATTGTTAATTTATTTTTGTTCATAGTTAGGAAATCAATGAGATACAATGGAGCGTGGATCCACATTTTTCATCTTCTAATGTAAATCATTATTAGGAAATATTAGAAGTGTTCCCCTGGGGAGAGAACTTGCAAAAGATTTCACTTTTGATTGAAAAAAACCTCTGGTATCCAAATGTTATTTTCATAAGGCCTTTTATGAGTGATCCCTGTGGAATGCATCTTTCCTGGCTTTAAATTTTATTTTTTTAGAATAGTTTTATATGCATTTCTCAGGCAAAAGCTAAAAAGGAGGTAGTTTATTAGCACTATTCTTGTTAAAATAATAAACAGCAAAAATTCTGCATTATTCCTGCAATAACAGAGTGGAAAAGTGAAAATGGCAGCTTTCAAAATGCTTTCTAGGATCTCCAGCCCCAGAAGCATATTGAGTGCAGCACTTTACACAGCTTGGTGATCACACCCAAGGTGTTGAGCAAGGGCCACAGAAAATCGTTTGCCCTTGAACCCTTCCAGCTGTTCCTTTCTGAAGTGGGAAGATGAATGCATTTCTCCCTCTCTCCTCCTCACTCCAGTACTCCTCTCTGCCCCAGGGATCCTCACCCAGTCTCTTGGGCAGGGATGAGTGAGAGGAGCTCTCCTGTCACACCTCACAGGTTGGCAGCGCCTCCTGATCGGGCACAGAAGTACCCAAAGCTCTCAGACCTGCTCTTCCCCATTCCAGAGAGGTCCCAGTTGCAATGCTACAGCAAAAGGCAGGGAACTGCCCAGTCCCCTCACAGTTAAGGGGTCAGTGCTGGGGTGAGTGAAGGCATCAGTGTGTCACCCCGAAGGCTGGTGAAGCACAGGGAGCACTGCCCTGAGCAGCCTGAGCCTCCCTGGAAGGGACAGAGCAGCTGCACTCTGCTTGCTGGGAGCTACAAACACAGCAGGACAGGACACCTTGGGGTACAGCACCACTGGGAAAGCACACTTACTAAAATTACTGCCTGAGCAGGGGCATTATGGTATGTTTGTCCTACATCCATAGCCAAGGAACTTCATCTGCTGTCATTTCCTGATCTATATCAGTCTCTAAGAAGTGATTTTTTCTATTTAAAATAAAGTGACTACAGTAAAATTAACTCTATGGTGGCATTCTTGAAACATTGGTGTCAAGAGATGCAGTTTGTGCTGCCAGTTAGGGACTGAATTTCCAAGCAGCATGTAACAACATCCTGGAATTCTGAGCACTTGATGAACTTCCCCAGGCCAAAGAGTTCAGTACAAGAAGACTCACTCTTCACCAAGCATCACAACCATCTGGCAAAAAGGATTTATTAAGAACTATTAAATACCTGAACCAGAGGTAGTTTAGGAACTAATTCTGCTCAGTTTTCATTATCCAGATGGCACTGATAGAACCAGGGCAGTGTATTCATTCTGCCTGCACAAATTATCTGCAAGGGCATCTTCTGACCAGCAGAAACTGCCTTCTGCCAAGGAGGATGCTGCTGGGGGAGTGGCTCTGCTTTTGATATCAGAAATAATTTAAACCCACAAGCATTTCTATGTCTGCCAATTGCTTTAGCTCTTTTAAAGCATTTTTATTTGTGGGGTCTTGAAAGGAAACCAAACTCACTGTGTCTCATGCTATCAAATTAACAGCCTTCACACTAGCACCAAGATAAAACTTTATTTAATATTTATTCCCTGTCTGTCTGTTGGAAGGATTCTGATGAAAGAGGAGGTCCTTTAGCAGATGCTGGACCCATGCTTTCACCAAATAAACACAAAAATCAAATGATTTGGATGTAAATGTGTGAACAGCTTAGAAGCAAAAGCTTCTGTTTCCCCACAAACATCCAGATCCAAGCACATTGATGATCCCTCTGGAAAAGCACTCAGAAATGGCATTCATGTCTACTTACACTGAAACAAAGCTTAATAAACACAATAATTAACTTTATTTTCCATACACATATTCTGCTGTCAGCATATTTGTACAGTAATTTAAGATCTGGAAAATTGTACATACCACTCTTCATGCTGCAACAACCTTAAAGTGCTGGATCAATTTCTGACTTCTGTTGAAGCTCAAAATAATACTTTCTATGTATATACAATATATATATATGCATGTATGTATGTGTTTGCATCTAGGAAATGACCACATTTCACTAAGATAGCCTAGCAAAAGTGATATTAAATACTTCAGTCTGCCATCTCAGCATGAGAACATAACTGTGATCCATCTGCTGGTGGCAGAGAAGCACCACACTGGCAAGTGGGTGTACTCATAAAATGCCACCTGAAATAATTCCATTTAACACTGGCAGGGAAATCAAGTATTGCAAGAGCAAAGGTACGATACAAGAGACCAAGACAACCAAACCTAAAGCATACAGTCCAACAGCATTGATTTACATTCCTAAAAAAAAAAAATAAAAAATAGGACAACTTGTTCCAAGAGCCCATTTGTACTATGGAATCACTTTGTCAGAATCAGGTAGAGTGTATCTTTGGTCACTATGAGGACAAGAATAATTGAATACACAGGCATTTCTCAAACATCAGAACTAACTCTTTGGAAAACTCCCTTTCCTGGACACACAGCTATTGTGAGTTACTTAAACATCAGTGCTGACTGTCACCTTTGTGTGTGTGAGTTACTGAAGGTGCTTCCCCCACAGCATGGACACAGGGTCAATGTACAGGGAGATTAAATATTGAAGCAGCTTTAGTAAACACTTGCTGCAGAGGACAAAACTCTGTGTGCCCCCAGGGGTTATTGGCTGCCAAAGGCTTTTGCCAAGATGGACCAAAAAGGTCTGAAGAGCAAGAGGCTTCTTTCATTCCATCACCACGGACCCGATGGGAACGAAGCAGAACACAACCACAATGACTAAATTCAATTTTGATACAGTTTAGATATGGAACACAGAACTGCAAAGGTATGGCACTAATAACAAAGAAAGCATCTTCAAACAGGAAAGATGCTCTTATTCCTTTGGAAGTCACTTTCTTCACTACACATATATTCATTCCTGCTTTATGATCAGCATTCCTCATGCTAGAAATTTTGTGCTCTTACACTGAGACAGCAATAATGAGGAGGTTAAAAGCAGATTAATTCTATCAAACCTGAAAGCTTTCATATCTCCACTTCCTTTCAGAGATCACAGCTTTTCAGTGATGCTCTGTTAACCTATGCAAGCTGTCCAAAGGAACTGCAGGAAGATCTGAGCAACCTGTGTTCTCAGTCAGCCTGAGTGCTCTCAAAATACTTTTGGTCCTCACATGGACCAATGCTGTGTAGTTTCTTTTATGTTCAGAATCAAAGCTGAGAGAAACTGCAGCCAGTGAAATTCCAGCCTCCCACCCTCATCTCACAATTGAGCTCAGAACAAAAGGAAAATGCAGTTCAACAAAATAGCACAGGAGACATTTCCTTCAGCAGACTGTTGCCTTTTCTGAGTAGCTGAAGTTCTCCAGACCTGAACCTTATCTTGGCAAATTAGACACCAGGGTAGTGCAACGCTGTTCAACCTACATTAGCAGTCAGCTTCTCTGTATGATGTTAAAGAGATTAATTCACTAGAAGAATCAGATGTTCTTCTCATATTATGTCAGGCTATTAGTGAGATCAGGTACTACTTTTACATTCAGAAGGAATAGGAAATTCAGGCTGATTCACAAGAACAGCCATATGCCAAGCTCCCAACAGAAGTCTGTTGAGAGCTGGGTATTCGTTTTCCCACTGCATGTACAGTCCCTTTTGACACAGCATTCACACTTTTAATTATAGTTTTAGCTGTAGCATTAACCAAGACAAGCTGTAGGCATCTAGAAATTTTCTTGTACAAAAAGATTAAACAACAGAAAGTTTTGTAGATGTCTTCTTTACTAAAAATAATCACATTTCCCACAGGGACACACCAACTGTGTTCAATTCTCTGGTCCTCAGAACACTTACTTTATCCAAAGTCATACAGTAGCTTCTGCAACTCATCTTCAGATTCATGGCATGTTATTCTGTCGTGAAGTTATTGTTATTCTGCCATGAAGTGATTTGAACTTTTTTAAACAAAGAAACCTTGAATTAATTTGTTTTTCTTTCTTTTTTTTTTAAGGAGCAGGCCAGGAAATCTGGGAAAGGGAAAAGAACAGGGAAGGTGGGCAACAGAGATGGAATGAAGAGATTATACAGACTGATAGCCAGTACGACTTTTTCTTCTTCCAATGATGTAAGAGATAAAGACAAGAATGATAAGGAATCCAAGCGCCACGCCCACTGCGATGGGAATAAGAAAGTTCAGGTCAGAATCAGCAAGGCATTCTTCAGCTGCAGAAAGAGGAAAAACAAAAAAAAAACAAAAAAAAAAGCAAGGGAGAATAAATTAGTAAGGGAAATCAAGCATTAGAAACCAAAGAAAGCAAGGAGCAAACAGGCATTTCCGAGAAATTACATTGTATTAGATACAATAATACATGTAAAGTAAAATCAGTATTGAGTAAAGAATTGATGGAAAGATTGATTTCTTTAAACACATTTACTGCACACATCCTTTATATTGGTAATATACTTCTTCTGATTTGTACATTTAATTTCAGCTTCCTATAGCAAGCAGAGGATAGATTAGAAATGTGAGGACAAACCAGCAGTCTGAGCATGCATTAGCTGATCACACCTCAGAGTTAGCAGCAATAAAGCAACAGAAACCCCACACTGCTGTAGTGCTGCCTTGCCCAGGGGTCTTCCCAACCCTGGAGTCACCAGCACTCCTCTGGGTTCTAGACATGAAGGCATAAGGGACAAGCCAAGTAACAAAGCAGAAACTCACTGAGAGCTGCAAGAGACAGCCAAGATAAATGTGCCTCTGGGCACTGCATGGAAAACACTGAAAGGCTTTGTTGGGGTGGGTGACTTTATTTTCCCTGTGAAAGGGTTATTAGTTTCAGCTGAGAACTACACAGACCTCACTGAAATCCACATCAGAGGGGAAAATGGAAGAGACATCTGTAACCCTACAGAGGTTTTTAACACACAGCTTGCAAAAGGTGAGGAGCTCCCTGCTGGTACAAACACCCATCAATGATTAGCAAACCGCGCTGGGAACTGGTTTCAAACTCGAGGGCAGGGCTTGGCATTCCAAGCTGTTTGCAAGGAGAGCAGAGCTCCACCTGCCTGTGCAGGAGGGCCGGGGTGAGGCAGGAGGCTGTGCCGGGCTCTCCAGCACTGGAACAGTGCCTGCTTTAGAGGCATTTCATAAGGCAGCACTCCTGGTAAAACTATCTTGTTTGAGTTTTTAATTAGGACACAGAGTCAATGCTTCCTCAAAAGTTGGCTGCTGTTTTTTCACAGAATCAGCATTATTTATGGGAAATGTATTGTCCTGCTTCAGCTTATGACAGTCCAGCACACACTTGCCATGGCCCCTCCCTGAAATACCACACAAAGCCTTGGACTAAGAGCAAGGAGAACAACACAGCTGTGGAGGCTCAACAGCTGAAAATGCTGAACTGAGGGCACCTAATGCCAAGTAGAGCAACACTTGGAAGGAAAAGAAAAAAAAACAAGAGGAAAGGAACTATGCATCTTATACAGCTATTTCAAAATATTCTGATTGAGAAAATATTTAAACATCTTAAAGAGAGACATACATTTGATATTTAGTAATCCTGTTCACTAAATACTAACACAGACAATTTGCTAGGTGCTGGGTAATGGCTCACTAAACACTAACACTAAATATGAATGGATTTGCTAAGGATGAAGGTGCCCAGCAGGCAGTGACAGAAATTCCCTCTCTTCTTCAAAGGAAGGAGATGGCTGCAGCACACATCACACTGTGGCACCGTTACAGGCAATTCCCAGGGTGAAAAAGGGGTCAAGGTTTCATACCAGGAACATTCCATCCTTGCTGGCCCACATCTATCCAGGTATGGCTACTGTACAGTGCTTAGAAGCTCCAGAGGTGTCTTCAAGAGCAGAATTGGTAACTACAGCCCAACACAGCAGGGCCAGCAGGAACAGCTTTTTCGAATGATGTGGATGAATGTGTCCCCATTCAAAAAAGTCAGAAATTTTTGGTCCAAAGTTTTTTAAGCCCCAGTATAAAAGCTGCCTTCCCTTTTAAATCCAATCATGAGATTCAACCAACAGCCCCAAAGTTTGTGTTTTATTAACATATGCTAAGCAAGAGAGAACACTGTGGTAAATAAAAAAAATTTAAAAACCAGCCAAAGAAAAAACCAAAACAAGGAACAAATGACCAAATAAAATGCCCCTTCCAAAACCCAAATCCCATCATTCACTGGCTAGAAATGGTACTTTTGAGGACTATTAGCATGACATCTTTAACCTAAAATATCAGAAACCTTGACATTAGAATACAATATTTAGTAAACTGTGTATAAGGTACTAAACCAACCACACTCTATAATAGGTTATACACATTAATATTCCACATCCACAGGTGTTAAATAAATTCACAATTTAAATGCTGTTTCCACAGACCAGAACAAAGCCAGCTATGTAACAGAATCTCAGATACAGACTGATTAGAGTTCACCTTACTCATTGAGTTTATTTTCTTTAAAAAAAGACAATACAAGACGTCTGTTTTCAAATCACTTAAAAAATGTGAACAAGTTTCCTTAAGAAATAGAACAATCTTTATTTTTTTAGAGCACAGGTTAAACAGATTGACAGTTCCCTATGGAGCAATACATACAGGAAAACTAGTGGTTTTATAACAACAGGAAGTCAGGTGAAACTGATGTTTTTTGAACCAGTTACCTGCACATCAGTCTAGGAGTACTTAAAACTCTGAGCCAATGTACTTACAGGTTTTTGCAATGGTATTTCTAGTGCTGATTTTAGGAAGAAGTTTGCATGAATCTTCTACTTTATCACTTGGAAACTGTGTACAGTTCAAAAATTTGCAAGCTAAGAAGAATAGTGTGATGATTACTCCTTAACAGAGATGCATGTTTAACTGGTGCCACTGAACATCACTCACAAAAAAAAAAAAAAGCTAAAAAATCTATATGAACTTCTGCATTTGAGGATATATTAATATGAAAGTCATTAGATCCATTTTTTAAAGTTAAAATGGTAAGTCTTGAAGCTTGTTTCATGATTAAACTTATAGCAGTTCCCCACTTTCATTAAAATGCATTTCAGTAACTGATGCAAAATTCAAGCTGTAGACTACAAGCTATAGTAAGCATTATCCACCCATACATGCTTCCTTGGCTAGTGTCAAGAGTAAACTGTCTTTACAAAAGAAAAAACCAAACCAAACCATTACTGAAAGAAGTGTATTTTATGATTTGTATACAAACATGCCACAGACATCTCTACAACCCTAGAGAACACTAATAAAACACTAGAGAAGCTTTGATGCAGGCTAAACTCATTCTAAATGGGGAGACAATGTTATGTTCATTAAATAACTAGCTTAGGCAGCTCATGTTATGACATATGCAAAAAAGCCACAATTATCTAAAAGTCTAAAAGACTTTTTTTTTTCCATGCAGTAAGAATATGCACAAAGAGCCCAGAGCAAAGTTGTGCATCAAGGGTTAGTCTCTACAGAGCTGCAGTTAAAGAACAGTCCAGTTGCACTGCACTTTTTTAACCTACTTATTCTTTTCATACAGCAAGGAAAAACAGGTGTTGTGGGTCCATCTCTTGTTTGGCTTTTGCATTCTTAACATCAATAAATGCTACACCGCAAACAACCCAACACAAACATTCAACATTCAGAGTGCCAATGGCGGGCAGTTACAAGGTGAACTTTGACTGGCAGAGAACCATTCAAGATGAAGATTTAAAAACAGCTCAAGCTGCAACAACAGATACTGGCTCATTAAATGAAAGCATCTTTAAACAAGGTCATTCAAAGCAACAAGACAGACCAGTTCTGTGCAGAGTATGGTATGAAGTTAAGTGCACTTTAAAGTTCTGGAATATTTAGAAAGGTTATTCCCTTTAAACTGATGCCAGCAAAAAAAAGCTTGCATTAATTTAGCAGAAGTCTGCCTTAGGTGAGTATTTTAGATGATTGCCAAGGTATAGTAAAGAATTCAGTGCCTAACAGGTTTTTTTTTGAAAGCATCTGGAAACGGCACTGAAGTCTTCCCATATATTCACCATTTGGCAAATTACCCATTTTGTTTGTACAGCCACGGTATAGGAATGATTCCTGAAATTACACCAAGGCAGGAGTAAATTACTGAAATCCTAACAAAGGCAAGTAAGTTACTGCTGCCACTTCCAGAGATCACTTAATCACCAGCCTGAAGTTCAATCCTATGGAAAACGAAGTTGCTATTGGGCATTAGACAATCCTTGTTAAATACTGTACAAGTCAACAGAGTGACTAATGCTGCCAGCTTAACCCACAATTACAACAACAACTAAGGAACGCAGAGGAGAGAAGCAAGTACAAATTCTATGCTAATCTGGGAGATGCCCAATGCACATCAGTTCAGAACGTGTTATTGTTTCAGGCTAGTATTTGTAAAAAGCACAAATAAATCCTAAATGCTTTAGGACTTTTGCAAGATAAAATCCTTAGCCTAGCAATTCATCCAGGATTTGACATCTTCAAGACAGCTATGAAACCCACATGGTCTTCTTAGGGCAGGAAAACAAAGTGTAATTCTGCTTCATCTGAGATAAACATTCTCCCTTTATTCTCAACTCCAATTAGCTGTGGCTAGTAATTACTCCTATGTTTTGGGTCTTTTTTTGGACTTCAGAACTTGCACTTGCTTTGTTTAGAGTGAAATCATAACAGGAATCACACTTAGATTCACAAAGTTTGATATCCAGCATAGCTTTTTCTTCTGCCAATTATGTAAGCAACCACTATAATGGCAATCAAGACAGCAAGTGCAGCACCAACTACAATTGGGATTAGAATGCTGTCATCATCCAGCGAACACTCCTGGGCTGTAGGTGAGAAAAAGGTTGCAATAAGGAATAAAGAAAGACAGAACACATCCCAAGTGTGGTATAAAAATCTGTTTTCCTTAATATGAAGGTATTAAAAAATCAAGTATTATTTAAACTAAGTGAGAAAGAATTGCAGAGGTCTCATCAATACATTTAGCATATTTAAGCATTTTAATTAATATAAGCATTAATAACCTATAGCAAATTAAAGGTGCACAAGTTTTCCTGTGCACAAGATCTGCACTAGGCTAGGGAGGAGCCATTTTTCTACATTCACAAACCAGGCTTATCTATTTCAAACTTAAAGCAAGTCTGGTTGGTACTTTCACTCATTAAGGATAAAAAGTGACCTAGATTTGGTATCAAGAATCTATCCAGAACAAAGATATGTTACACAGATAAAATAACTATAATTAGAAGAAAGCTAGCTGCAACTTTAACTACAGAGTGAAATGGGTCCCTAACTCTTTAGAAAGACTAAACTGTTTACCCTACACACATCTGGAGTTATCTTACTTCTGTCTAAAACCAGAACTTTTCAATCTATGTGTCTACAGATCAGTCTAGTCCAGTAAGACTGTGCTGCAAGTATTAGCATTAAGCACAAAGACCAGTTTGCACTAAATATTAAGAGGTAATTTAAGACATTTCAGTTTTCTCCAGACAAGATCAACATATTGCAGCAAACAAACATTTCAGAATCTCTTTTGTTCTGGATACTCAAGACTGCCTCTGAAGGAAACCCTGACAGTTCATTCTTCCCCAACACTTCTATTCCTCAGACTGACAGGTAAAAAGAAACAAAACACCTAACAGTATTCTCAAAGTGAACTTCTGCAAAAGTTCTGAGCTACAAATTCTGCAAGTCAAGATGTTATCAAGTAACTTCTAACCTATTCTGCACAGCAACCCTTAAGTCCCTATTCAGTGTCTCTTGTTCATTCAAGTTTTGTGAAGAACCACACACTTAGCAGACATTTTTTAAGCGAGAACAAAGCTTTGCTTGAACTTGAATGTCACTCTCAGAACTTCTCTTCATTCCATCTATATCTAAACATAGTTTAAAAAATTGGAACAAGAGCTTCTGAGATAAAGTGCTTGCACCTAATGCTGGTGCTTTTTAGCAAGTGAAAATTTTGCAAGCATCACTAAAAACAAAAACATAACTCTTACCTGTAGCAAACTTATTTGCCTCCACAAGGAATGGCTGAATCCATAGATTAAAAGTATGTACTTGAACATTTTCATTAATCTGAAGGGTCTGCTCTTTTCGGCACATGTAAGAGCTACCAAGGAAAGCATCCCACTTGCTTAAGTTGTTGTTATCTGCACTTGAAATGACTAAACAAAGAAGGAAAAAAAAAAAAGAAAGAATTTGCATGTTCACTTAAAATGTAAGACAGTTGCTAATACACTAAGACTGAGTAGCTGAATCTAGAGGGGCCAACACTTCAACACTGACTAGTCTGAAAAACAAAGTAGTGCAAAGTGGGGTTGATCAGCTTAACCAGAAATCAGAAACTGAAGTTATTACAGTAACCTCTCTTTCATATGTACATGACATCAGGCTTTCCTTATACCTCCACTCATCTCAGTGCTGCAGAGTTGCAAGGGCTTTAGCTTTAATGCTCTTTAATTGCTGTAGCTATGACAAGCAATTAAAAAAAAAAGAAAACATATGTTTGTTGGGAAAAAAGTATACTTTAGCTTCTGAAGGACTGGCCTTTTTTTAGTGAGAGTACAAGTGGTTGGAAGATACAGCAGTATTTTCAAACAAAGAAGACAACAACTGGTTTAGGAAAAAAGCTTCAAATTTGGTACAATTAGATTTCACACCACAAAAAATTACATTACTGAAAAGAGTTATCAAGAAGCCCTTTTGATTTACAGTGATTCCATTAGCAGAAGTTTCAGGAATCGTAGAGTGGTCCCACACTGTTTAAAGTAACTCTTACAGACATTTTAAGTAACTCTTACAGACATTTCTGCTTATTATTTTTGTTCATACCAACTTCTAGACAGAGTAGGAGCTAACAGTAAGCATGAACAACATTGAAAAAAAGCCAGAATTATTTGATGCAGACACTGAATAAAGTATTACCCTTGTTTAAGGCAGATACTGTTTTTCTTACCAGAGCCATTCAGACGGTTGAGCAGAGTAACATTCACCTCCCTCAGATAAAATTTCTGTACACTTGCACTCGCATTTTTCTGTTCAAGAAGCAAGAACCAAGTGTCAGTGTGCAATTTTGCTATTGTAAATTTAAGAACACATGCTTTACAAAAACCAACACATTTACCAGTCTTAAATTTTTTACCATTTTAACCCAGTTCTCCATTTGTCCTGAGGCACTCAGCTGGCCAGTTCCACTTCCCATACAGGAACTGCCGACCACCAGCAAGCAACAGGAGGATTTTACTGTAAGTGATCACCATGCATGCTGTTAAATGATAAATTTAGTTTAAAATAAAAGAAGTTACTTACAACAGCAAATGTGAAACCAATCAGTGTGCTATTTCCATCATTCAGTTTCAGAGTGGCTGTTGTGTTACCACAAGCACCATCTGCGACAGTTGTCTTTGGATTGATGTTGATCAGAAGAGGCTGAAATACACACAAAGCACATCAAAGACATTCAGCTGCCTTTGGAATACATTGTCTCAGTCACGAACAGTCTTGGGTAAGAAGAGCTTGTCATAAATATGACAGCAGGGAGAGCTGAGCTTGGCTGCTATGGAACCAAGGCTGTTTGAGTTAAATTTACATGCTGGCAGTACTGAAACAAACAAATTCCTTGAGAAGTGTTACTTTGTTCCCTAACACAACAAGCTACCCTCCGAGGGGAAAGTAGGGAACCAACAGCCGTAACAGCTAAGAAAGTTCCAGACCTTTAATCATGTTAGAAGTACTCCCAATAAAAAGATCTGTTGAATCCATAGGTTTTTGAAGACCTGTATTATACAACAAAACCATTCTGATGTCAGAGAGGTGCTACATATAATACTTAGAAGCAGTTCTGGACAGCCAGCAGTGTACACAGCAATACCCTGCATTCAGACTTCACACCAAATAACTACAGCAACTTTTACTCTTCAAAAGCAAAAAGAAGCACCTTGTCTTGGGAAACATTCAGTTGCAACCCCACAGTTGCCAGGAAACACGTTTTATTTCCACTTTTAAGAGAATAGTTTCCTGTGTCTGGATTCTCCACAGGCTTGGGAGGAGTTGGAGCAGGGGGTGCAGCAGTGGTAGGTGGAGTAGTTGCATTGGCACTAGTAGGTGGAACAGTAGGTGCAGAAGTAGGTCTATCAGCAGGACATCTAGTCTCTGAAAAGACATTTTAATCACCATCTCATTACTGGAATTTTATTGAAGTCTCATTACTCAGACAAAGTACAGTTGCCACTTATTCTCAGAAATCCTATAACACTCAGTTTTAAACCCACACTCAGTACCACTTGCCTCTGACACAGGGAAGTAAAACACACAACGACATTAAGCTGTTTTAGAACAAGTGTGACATGTATTTGCTGTCAGCCAAGTAAGTGACCCTATTAGGCTACATGCAGCAGGATGCTGTGCTTGTCTCTTTCCTGAGCTATGAGATGAGACAACAGGCTCTGGACTACTCAAATGCAACAGCAGAAGCCACCACTACAAGTGGAAGGCAGTCAGCTAAAACCCCTCAAGCCCAAATGATTTACTCAGCAACAGTAGCTCTGAAGTGCTTATTTTTAATACCCCAATTACTGGAATACACACTTGAGAAGAATCCCACCTTGGCAGGCAAACAATCAATAGTACAGCACACTACTAAATCCGTTCTCCTAAGCTATTTTTCCAGGAACAAGGAAAGAAATGCTAGAGGATATTTACATGGATATTATTAAATACAACACATCTTAGAATTGGTGGATTTTTTATTATGGGACTTTGCTCCCTGCACTAAGGTGCAACACAAAAAAGCTCTTTCACAAACTGAAATGCTCACCTTTTTTACTGACTGTGCCATTCTGAACAAAAGCCTGCACAGTAACATTCCAGAAAATCTGTGTAATATTTTCTGCTTCAATAATGAAGGAATTGTGACACACGAAGACAGTGTTCAGCTGAACTGGACCTGCAGGATCCTTTATAAAAATAGTAACTGGTCCTACAAATAAGCATAAATATTTTAATGCCTTATGAACTGCAAGAACTTAGAGGTAGTGTTACATTTTATATCATTTCATAAGACAAAGACTAAGCGATAATTAAGCTTAACAATCTTCAGCTCTCCTGAATGTTCTCCCTGTATGTCCTGACCTGAAGTTACAGGTAATGCAAGGAGTAAAGCTAGGAGTAACCAAGCTTACAGAACTAGACAAGCCATAAGAAAGGTGAACCCTTTTACTTAAGTTTGTAAGGAGAAAACAATTCTATTATTAGTAGGCATTAGTACACAGCCTAACACTGTATTGCTTAGCAAGGTAGAAGGTCAAGCAGTGCCCACTAAAATTAATCTTCCATGAGCTTGCTGTCCACCTCACTGATCAAAGCTGTTTGTCCTTCCCCTTCTCTTCCACTTACAGGAATTACACATCCAGTGAAGCCATTTGGCCTGCACTGTTACCCAGCAGGCAGGTACGAGGAGCAGCAGTTGGCAGCACGTGGTTCAGAACTCATTACATTCATTACTGACTCCTGGATTGCTCCTTACTTCGAAGGAGCCAAGCTAGGTCAGGTACATGAGGTCTGACACTTCTGGCTGAGATTGCTTTGCAAGTCAGATTCTGAACTGAATGTTACCTTTTCTCTTAGCATCAGGAAATACAGCTGTGTCATTGGTGTTGTAGGTCAGCGTCATGAAGTCTCCCTGGTAAGTTTCATTGTTTTTTGTGATGTTAATGCTCCAAGAATGACCTTCTCCAAACTGCACTGCCACAAGGGCAGCCTGTGTGTCATTGCCACAGACGCTTCCATTGTGTGTCGCACTGGATGACAAATTCAGGGTTGTGGTTTTCTAGAAGAAAAGGGGAATTTAAAATGCATTCACATGCAGCTCTTCCCCATGACAACATTATAAACTTGCTGGAGTTAGCTGAAACCTTGCTGAGATTATTTTAGGTTGTTCTGGAAAATTATGGTAAGGGCTCCTTGAAACCTGCCTGAGAAAGGATCTGTATCAGATTCAAGTACAAAAGTACAACTCTAACCTGGCTGTAAACCCTGATCATGTTGAGCTGCAATTACATTTACTGCTTGGGTTAAGAACATAACTACAGTGGTACTGGTTAGACTTGGTGAGTTTTGTGTACATCATTTAAGTAAGAGCAACAGAGTACTTTCAGTAATTTGTATGACTGAGAACTTATTCTTTACTTTATAAGGACTATATAGGAATATTCCTCTCAACTGACTTAGTAAAAAAAATAATTAAAAAATCAAACACCCTAGGTAAAAGAGCTTAAATTTTAATCCAGGTCAAAATACAGTTCTTAGCAAGAGTTACTCCTAAATACTTACATAATCACCATTGTTTGATTCATATGTTATCAAGAACCTCATCATCCAATTTGCATACAGGCATGTAGCATTGGAAGCATCCTTTATATCTACTTCAACTGCATAGGACTGGAAAAAACCTGTAAGATATGATTATCAGCTATTAAGACATTGATTTTTCTTAATTTTCTAGAACCACTTAAGAGGACAGCTCATCACAAAGCAGTAAATTATGTCAGGACCATAATCAATTTACCAGATGGTTCAAAGAATAGATAGATTTCTAAAAAGCATCAAAAATAGGAAGCACACCACAAAGCTGTCAAAGCTGTCAAAAATTGAGAGAATGTTTTATAGTCTGTTTACCTGACACAAACTAATAATTGCAAAGCACTGACTGCCCAACACAGGACACTTAAGATTTGGCTGTACAGGGTGTTGGGCCATCTCGTCTAGACCATGTCTTCGCCAAGAAAGGCTGGACCAGCTGAACCTTGAGGTCCCTTTCCACCTAGAATTCTGACTCTCTGAAATAAGCATCAGCTTTCTGGTGACACAGTGGGTAAACCAAAGGGCATGAACACAGCACTTAAACAATGCGCCGCTTGTAGACCGGGGTCTATTATTTTTATTATTCTACGTGTTGTATCAGTGATTGCGGCTCAACCCCCAAGAGATGGGCTCGGCAGTGCCTTCACTGCGCTTCCATCACTCCCATCTCGAGACACACGGGCGTTAAATCTCCTCTGCCTTTTAGGAGAACTTTCCCCAGCTGTTGTGCTCCCGACGCGGTGACTCCCGGCACGGACGCTGCCGTGCCCGCGGCCCCACGCCGAGGAGCGCTGGCAGAACGGCCGGGCCGGGCCGGGCCGCGCGGGTGGGCCCGCGGTGCCGGCCGCCGGGCCCCGGCCCTGGGCGGAAGCGCCCCGAGGCTCCCGGCCTCCCCGGCCCCGCCGCTGTCCCCTCCCCTCCCGTGGGTGGCGGCGCGGGGGGGCGGCAGCGGCGGCGCCTCCGCCCCGGGGCCGCCCCCTGAAGGCGCCGCGGGGCCGAGGCGGCCCCGGGACCCCCCGGGACCCCCGGTGCCCGCGCGTGACGGGGCGGGGAGCGGCGCGAGCCCGCGGGGACACCCGAGACCCGCTCCCCTCCCCCGGGCCCCGGCGCTGCCCCGCTCACCAGAGACGCCGAGCAGCAGCAGCGGCAGGAGGAGGCGGCCGCGGGAGGAGGCGGCGGAGCGGCGCGGGCCCATGGCGGTGGCGATGCTGCTGCTGCTGCTGCCGGCGGCGGCGGGGACACCGGGGCACGGCGAGCGGCCGGGGCGAGCGGGCGCGACAAAAACCTCGCTAGCGGTCATGTGAGGGGCGGGGCGGGGCCGCCCGCGCGCCGCCAATCGCCGCTCGGCGCCGCCGCTCGATTCCGTGGATCGCGGACGGGCCGCTCGCCGCGCGCCGCCTCGGGCGGGCGGGTCTGGTTTGATCCGCTCCTGTCCCAGTCCCGGTCCGGCGGCGGCACCGGCAGCGGGGACAGCAGCGGGGACAGCGGCGGTGGCCTCTGCAGGGGCAGGGTAGCGGCGGCTTGTTCTGGCCCTCGGCAGTGTTTGCGGTGTGCCCTGGCGCTGCTACCTTACAAGAGGGGCACGTCCAGAGAAGTTTAATATAGAGGCTTTCACTGGGAAGAACAAATAAAGAATAAAGATATTGCCCATGTTTGCAGTAAATACAAAGGGTTAGTGGGCTCTCAGTGCCCCTGTCCTGCCATGGCTGTCGGTGTCCCTGGGCCGGCTGTCGCTGCTGTCCATCCACCGTCCCATGAGGGCCGGCCCGGGGCTCCCGGCGCTCGGTGCCTCCGGTGATCGGTCAGAACCCCCTCCAGACACGGCCCCTGCTGCGGGAGGGATTGGCACCCGCACCCCGAGCTTTAATGCGTTTTCTGCTGGTGCTGAAAGGCAGAAAACGATGGGAGGCGACAGGAGTTTGGTGCAATGAGGGAGAGAAGAGCCTGAGGTGCTAAGTGGGGAGAAGGCGGCTGGACAAGAAACTCGGTGGATTTGGGTCTGGAAGGTGGAATAAAGTGTGATGGATGCTGGATTGCACCCTGACATTATCGATTAGGGGGAAAAACCCCAAAACCCCATACCCCACGAAAACAAGTCAGAAAGACTGGCTTGGCAGAGAAAGGGGAAATAAAGAGGGCATTGAGGCTGGGAGACAGCCAGGGGATGGCCCGAGGAGACAGGAGCTCTGCCCTGCAGGGAAGGGCCTCATGGAATGCAATATTCCTGCCTGTGATGCTGTGGAAGAACTGAGGATTTTCAATGGTCGGGCTCTAAGAGACACCCCCAGCTATAGGGGGAGAAGATGAAGTCTGAAGAAGACAATAAAACACATTGACCTGATAATGGGACAGTTGGAGTGCAGATGGTTGATAGGAAAGCAGTTATGCAGTCTGGAGGAAGTGGAAATAATTTGTTATCACAGGGCAGTTAATTTCTCTCAGCTGTGTGCTTACAATCCTGTACTTTCCCATAGAGTGTCACAGAACCAAAGCTGGCGTGTCAGGGCCACCACAGAAACCAGGGCATCGATCAAATGAGGGTCCCACACAAGGGCTTTTGTGCTCAGAGATGTTCACTGCTTCTTTGCATTTCTTTTTGTGCTCAGTAACTACACCCAGAGCCCAGTCAGCACGTGTGTGACACACCTGCACATGCACTTGTCTAAAATGGTTGCCTGTGACTCTCAGATTCACCTAATTTCAAAACAGAGTAAATTTATATTTATCCTTTGGGCTTAATTACCAAATATTTATTTGAAGAAATAAACTTTATATTTAATAACTGACTTGCTGTAGGCTGGAGGGAAATGTCAGTAACAGCAGCACAGATGAAACCAGGAATTCTGAAAGCAGCAAGTCTTTCTCAGCTCCACCACAAAGAATGGGGCATTTCAGAGGCTAGGGAGAGTCCTGCTCTAGGGATTCTGTATTTCCTCAGGCTTCACTCCTTTAGAACAAAGTACTTTTTTTGAAAAGTGACCTCACAAGGAGTTAGGAGCAATCAAATTAGGAGGATTTGACTATTAGGAGACAGACATTGAATTAAGCTTTAATTAATTGGAAGAGGAGAAAATGTTTGGTCTTTTCAGGTAGTTCATGCGGTGGAATGGCACCTTTTGCATCTGCTGGAATATTTACTTCTGGACTTATGAATATACATTGATATGTTCCAACACTCCCTTGTTCAGAATTCTGAATATTTGGATCTCTTGCTTGCACGGTAGGAAATGGGCTCTGAACCAAGTGGATGTTCTGCAGACATAATGGGAAGGCAAATTAACTTGTTTCCTTTATGCCAATTTAGTGAAGCTTGAAATGAAATCTAATGGCAGCAAACATAACAAGCAAATCCTTTTCTGTGTAATAACACAAGAAAAATAGCAAGCAGGGTGGGATTAAAAGAATAATATAGTTTATTAATTTAGCTGATCCTGGTTTTCTAAGACATTCACATTCCTTATGTTTATTGCTGGATCTGAGAAGGAGGACTGTAATGTTTCTGTACAGCATTACAGCTTTATTGCATGTTATACTGCCTGACATCAGTTGTTTTAAGAAGGCATTGACATGTACATGAGAGCAAATATCAAAACATTATAATTTCTTTTTAAAGCTTTAGTTCATTGAGGAATATAATTTCATGCCTAATTTCATTTGCATCATATGCTTAATCCTTCATGAATCCTGTAGCAGTTTCAGCAGTTTAGATATTATTTCTGTAATCAAACTTTCCTTAGCCCTGGGACTTGCCAGAACTGATGGATGTGTGTGGTCAGAAGCAAAGTGTCCACTGTTTAATGAAGCACTGAGTAACTTCATGTTTCTGATTCCTGGTGCAGAAGAGTAGAGATTGTGATAAAAAGAAGAAAGAGATAATGCCTAGGACATGCAGTAATCATGACCTTATTCTAATGTATTTTTATTTATTCTTTTAGATATCTCTAAACAAAAGGGCAATTCCTGTATTTTTTTTTTCTTCAGGGAGAAGATCATGGCAGAACCAATTATTCCTTCCCAGGAGGCAGGGAAAGGATTTGGTTCCATTTCAATAGAAGGGGTGGAAGGAGGAATGTATTAATACTGGCCAGAGAGGTCCGAGTGTCACTTGGCAGAGGGGGATGAACCACAGGGACCTTGTTGGGGCTGTGCCAACAGCTGAGCGTTGTTCACGAGTTCTTCTCACACAGCCCGGTTTGCAGCCGTGCACTGAGCACTGGGGCTCCGGCCACCGCAATGAAAACCACGGAGTGTCCAGCACAGGGTGACATCTGCAGGGCCTCAGCTGCGTGTGTGACTCTGCTCGGGGGCAGGGACAGCTCCCAAAAACCCCAAGCCCTTCTTACCTCAGCCGTGCGCAGGCTCCGAGCGGCCGGCAGCGCTTTGCGGGGAGGTGGCGCTGGGAAACCAAACCAATAAAGGCTCTGCGGGAAACTGCTGAGTCAAGACCGGGGAAATCACGTGAAAAGCCAAAAAAAGAAACCTCGCTGGGGAGGTGAAGGGATCAGAGAGCAGGTTGCAGCAGAGAGCTGCGAAACTTCCTGTAAAACCGCTCGTGTCGCGACACAGCTGGAAAACATTCCCGGTGCGGGCTGGGGAGGCGGCACCGGCGATGGGCACGGGCTGGGACAGAAACCCTGCTCGGTTCGGCGGCGCTGGATGGAGCTCAGGGGGCGAGCAGGGCAGGAGCTGGGCCTTCGCACCGGGCTGGGGCAGGAGCTGCCCCTTTGCTGTCCCACTGATGTCCCACTGCTGCCTCTTCACTGTCCCACTGATGTCTCACTGGTGTCCCTTCGCTGTCCCACTGATGTCTCTTCACTGTCCCACTGGTTTCTCTTCTCTCTTTTTTTCCCTTCCCTTCCCTTCCCTTCCCTTCCCTTCCCTTCCCTTCCCTTCCCTTCCCTTCCCTTCCCTTCCCTTCCCCACTGGTGCCCCTTCGCTGCCCCTCGGTGCTGCAGGGTGCAGATGTTGGGATGCCCTGTGGTGTTGGAATCGTTTCCAGCTGCTGCTGGATGTGATGTGATGTGTGCTGCAGCTGGGCTAACATGTGGCAGTAGATGAGATTGATGCATTTCGTGAGTCAGACCAAGCTGCTTGAAGATGTAGCTGTGTTTAATGTGGGGAAAAAAAAGAATTTGTTTGACTGACAACATGTTCTTTGGGCTTGTTCCAGCAAAGTAGAGGTGTGTCAATACTCTGGCTTTTGTGGTTTGATCGACACACAGTGCTAACTTGCTGGAGATACATCTGTCAGCTTCAGAGCAGAATTTATTGTGTGAAAATGGCTCTGCACAGAAGGCACCGCCCACTTCCAGCTCTTATGAAAGATGTGTTGGCTGTAACATTTTCTGAGAGATTTCGGCAGGAAAAGAAGTTACATCCAAAATACAAGGCAGGGAGGCAAACTGGATATTATACAGTCATTTTCATAACTGGGTATTTTAACTGTGGGACTTCAGTGCTACAGGATCCCTTGTGACCTAGAATAACATTACATCCCTTTCACAGAGAACATAAGGATATTTGTAGCTAGTCTGTAGTTTCCAGCTCTGACAGACATCAGAAACCAGGTCTGGCACACACCAGGCTAATGCCTGTTCACTGCATTGTCCTGAAACAGAGCTCTTTGGGGAGTGATCTCTCTCCAGTTTGAGGTTGTGTGTTTGCTTTGTGCTTTTAGAGCTGGGATTTGAAGCAGCAGCTGCTGCTGTAGGAATAGAAAGGGAGAAACTGAAGGGATGCACACGCAGTGCCAGTTCTGCAAGTGACAGAATCGCAGCCCTGTGGTTGCAGAACCGGTTCTGACCTCCTCCCCAGCCACATCCTACAAACCAGCTCTACCTGTGCAGTGACAAGGTTCAGCTCACCTCTGCAGAGGCTGTTTTGTAGTTTTTGTTCCTGTCTCATGCTTGGGAGCTGCACCTTCTCCCCAGCATGCACAGCGTGGCAGAGCTTGGCCTGTGCAGTGCCCTGCCCAGCCTTCACTGAAAATTAATTAATTAAAGAGCAGCTTTGCCTTGAGCCTAAAACTAGCACCAGCTGAAGGAAGGGCTTTGTGGATGTAATTAAGGGCCTGCTTTTGAGAAAGGCATCTGGTTTTGGCCATGATAATAAATTTTTTTCAGCTGTACCTCAAACTTCAGAGACTACACAAGGGTGAAACAGAGCAGGCAAAGTGATAATTTCCTAGGAAGTTCAGTCCAGAAGGGGAGAATAAAGCTATATATTAAGTGAACATGTTGCTAATAATCTAGCACTCATATTTCACAATGAATTAAAACTACTATTGTTCCAAATAGTAACAAGCAATCTATTCCTTATCATTTCAGATGCAATTCACTTGCATGCTAGCCCCTTTCTGCACAGTCATAGTGACTAAGCTTTGCAAAGCAGCACAGGAGCCCTTGAGCCCTGTAAAGGCCTGGGCAGTGACCCTCTACACTCCTTAATTGCATAACACATCTAAATGTTGGATCTACTGAAAGCAGTTACTGCAACTTCCTTGTTACTGTAAATATTATTAGATGCAACAGAATCTGTAGATTTATCTTTTTGAAATTTCATACCAAGTTCTGATTACTCAGGCATTTTAACACAGAAGCACCTGGTGACATTGTGTTTTCCTCCAGCTGTAACATACAGGTGTTGCAAGCAGACAGACAACTGATTGTTTTAAGGACTAAGATAAAGATCTATCAACAGTTACAGAGAAAATTAGGTTATTTGTATTCTGTCTGAATAGTCTCCTTAGGCTGCAGGAGCTGACCAAACTTTTGATCTAACAAATGTAACAGTGCTGGGAGCAGAAGAACTCTTGGAATTCAGCAGATACAAGCAGAAGGGATTTGATAAGGAGACAATTCCAAGAGAAAAAGATACATGAGAAGGTGGCCAGCCCAGCAACAATGGAATCCAGCAAGAAATCAAGAATCCACGGACCAGAATTTTGTGTTTGACTTGGCCTGGGTGATGAGTGTCAGGGGTATAACTGAGGAGTGAATTGGGGTAGGGGTCCCCCTCCAGAGACACCAGTTTGAGCTGCAACCAAAGAACTGACAGGAGACTAATTGGAAACATTCACTTGGACTTGGCATTCTTAGTGGGGTCCTAGGGTCAGACACAGTTACTGTGTCTAAATCTCTAGCAATTGATAAAAATTTAGTATTTGCTGGATGTGAACTACTTTTCCTCAGCTTAAGAGGTTTATTTGCAATGCTGCAATGTCCTACTGATTCTAGAAAATTCACTTTCAAAGTTACTTTTTTTTGTTTAATTTCTATCCTAATGCTAATTTTCTATAAGCAGCAGCAGGACAAGCTGTGAGTCATTTGAAAGGTGACCTTGTACCAGGAAACAATTACTTAACCAGGAGAAAAACCTGCTCCTTTGTAGATTAATCAACATCCATTGTTTCTTTTCCCAGTTATTCCATGTATTACAAGATACCCTTTGCACAAAGTTCAATGCCTCTCAACCACTCCAGTGAGTTTTGAGGTGTTCATTGTTTAAATTCCACAGTATGTCCACAGGCCCTGGCCCCTTTAAGGGGGAACAAAAAAGGCAAATCCAAAGCTACCATCTTAAATTTGATTTGCCATCAGTTATTCTCAATCAGGAGAAAGTACAGTGGCATGTATTGCACTTCACATAGGAAAAGGAATGAAAGAATTTACTGCTCTGGATTTTCTTCTCAGAGCAGACAGATAATCTGTCAGTCTCCAAACACTCATCTGTTCCTGTAGGAGGTTATTTTTTTTTTTTTTGGTGAAGAATGCAGGAAATATTCTCCTTAAGGAGAAAGTGTTGGTGGAAAAACCCTCCCATGCATTTGGATGCCTCGAGGCTGTAAGACAGGAAGGAAGCAGCTGAGCAGGGCTGGTGGCAGATGTTTCCCAGACCCATCTAAACCCACCTGCCCCAGGACTCCGTGTGGTTCCAGCAGTGCAGGGTCAGCCCATGCAGCCCAGAACAGCTCACAGGATCAGCTCCTGCTCTGCTGCAGCTATCCCAGTTTCCAGGATTCAAAAGGGAAATCCAGAACACTCCATCTCCCCCTCCACCAAGTCCTCACTCAGTGCTCCTGAGCTGGGAAGGGCCAGGCTGGACACAGCCCTTCTGCTCAGATTGAACCCAGCTCTCAGGGTGAAGAAGAAAAATCAAGAATTGCCAATTGGCCCTTCTTCATATGAGAAGCAAATTCTGTATTTTGGAGAATGAAGGACAGCTCTGTCCTTCACACTTCAATAAAAATTCCAGAGTCATTAAAATAATGATAAAGTGGGAGACAAGGAGTATTCACAGCTGGAGAGGTGCCTCCTTCAGGAGCAACAAGGCACCACCTCTGATATTTTTGTGCATTTCTGCCACTTGTACACATTCTAATCCCAGCTCAGGATCTATGAGGATGCTTATTTCCTTCCCCTCCAAGAACCATAGAAGACTTAGCAAAAACCCCAAAATAATAAAAATTCAGGAATGGAAGCCACTTAGAAAACTCAAGGGATTTTAATGACTGAATGAATAAAGAACTACTTATTATATTTAAGTAGCAAACAAGTATTTTGCTATCAAAGCACAAGCTAAAGAATTTAAGGAAGCCATAAACATTAGTAAGCCCAACATACAGAACTTGGAGTAAGAAGGCATTTTACACACAAGAGTTTATCAACACAAAACTGTTTAATATTTATTAAATGACACAAAATACCTAGATAACAGACTCACTCTCTGAAAGGACATGTATTTACATTATTTACCAACTTAAGAAAGACTCTCTGTACCCATATCAGACTTATGAAACATAAAAAAGGTTTTGCTGCTTTTTGCATCGAAGGATGCAATGGTGATACATGCCCTGTTTGCAAGTCTGCATAAACTATAAGTTTTTGATGCTGTGAAAAAGCACATTTTCATATTCTGGTAGCTGAGGGAAGAGGCTTCTGAAAAGTAACAGGTTTAGTTTTTCCCCCCCACTCCAGACACACTCTCAAGACTGTTATACAAAAAGTATATTACATTTTTGAATGCTGCTGTACTCTTACAATTTTAGTGTAACGTTTCAAAGAAAATGTTCTTCCTACTATATGAGAGCACTAAAAAAAGAGTGGTATTTGAACATTTTTTTAGATGCACTTTTTTTTTGTTTTAAAAGAAAGCATTAGGGCAAATGATATGTCTAGGAAAAAATGAAAAGCTGACAAAAAAAAAAAAAAAAGAAAAAAAGCTGAGACCAAAATATGAAGAACAGCTAAAGCAACTTAACAATTTGCTAGGGATTTTTTTAAAATTTTTTTTATTAACTATTTACTTTGGCACCTTTGTGTAAACTATAGAACAAAACAACGTTTACAACACATTTGCAATTACAGCATTTAAACAAAATGGTCACTTTTGAAACCAGCCAAGACAAAAAAATAGTCCATTTATGGGTATAAAGATTAAAAAACCTAAAATATATATTTCTAAGAATAAACTGCAATTTCTTATGAACAAGGTGCTATAAACTGCATGCAAGAGTCAAGATTAAAAATGTGTGGCCAAAAAGACAAGCTGTGTTCTAGCCAGATGAGTTGTGGTCCAAGCCCATTTCAGTTTTTTCTTACAGAGATATATATGGCTCAAGAAGCAGGCACATGATCCCAGCAAGAATTTGCGGAGTTGTACGACGACAAATCTTGGCTGCAGCTTTGTCATGAACCAGGAATGAGCCAGACCTTGGCAGAAGAGATGAACAAGTTCTTGGGGAAAACCCATGAGCTACAAGGAGAAGCCTTCTCCCCTCCCCTCGCTCGCCCCTCTCCTGGCCTGGCCAGGGTTCTCAAAGTCCATTCTTTGGGTTGCTTTAACTGGATTGAGCTTAGGGTCTGCCTCAGATTGTGAATTCTGATGAGATTTCAGGACATTTTCTGTATAATATTTTCTGTTTGAGTGAATGTGACACTTGTGTAATGAGGGAGGGTTTTGCCACAGTGGGTGTTCACACGTGTAGTGGTGTTAGATTGATATGCTACAACAGACTGAATGGAACCAGCTCAATGCATCAGCTCCTGTCTCCCAAAGAGTTAAATCTTATGCTTCTTCTCCATTTCTCTTTAAAAGGAATCTTTTATTGGCTGAAGATACAAAACACATACAAGAAAAGGAACATTGAATGCGAAACACAAGTTTTTTTTATGGTGGGAGGCATTCTTTCCTCCCCAGTGGATCTCTATTTGAGCTAACACTTGAAGATTTGCAGGAGGAGTCTCCAAGGTTCTTCCCACATAACTCTACTGTCAGTATTTGTCTCACAGAGGCAGGGGTGGCCCTGGATGTCTACCAGTGGTTATGCTGCAATAGTGTCAAGGGGCAAGGCAGATTTTCTGCAGATCACAAAGAGCTGTATGATGGTTAGTTGAGGGTGACTGCAAATAATTTAGTAGGGGAAAAACCACCCACATTTGTTTAATCTGTCAGCTGAGGACTGCATACAAAAGAGCCTGAGAGAAAACATGGCTGGAGAATATATGGAATTAAACAGCAGATAAAAAAAAAAGCACTAAGGATGGGATGTGTCAGATAGAAAACACACACACACTCTCACATGCACACCCCTGAATGTGGGATCACAGTGATAGAAGTTAGAGTTAGAGAGAGCTAAGTTACACTGCCACTAAACAAAAGTAACATCTTGCTTCCAAGAGATATCTGGTATTCCCCAGGACTATCAGTGCCTGAAAGAGGATGAGGTTTTTCATTGTGCTCTGCAATGCAGCTGATCATAGGTACAAAGCCTGGCTGGGTAAGGAAGAACTGGGATACGTGGAGGAGTTCCTTTTCTGCTGACACCTTTTTTTTTCCCATATATTCCTGGTACATGCTGCTATAAGCAATAAAAAAATGTATTTTGTTGAAACAAAGCTCTACATTCAAGTGACTTACTCTCCCATGTCTTATAAAGATGCAAAGAATGCTCTCTGGCCATCTAAGAAAATATATTTTAGATGCCTTGTAGCAATACTTAACTTACTATATGAGAGGTAGGCTTCTGGGTTCTAGGAGGCCTGCTAGGCTCTAGGGCTGAGTTCTTAAAGCTTTAAGTTAAAGCAATCCAAAGCAGGGCAGTCTTAGAAGAGCTGCCCTGTCTAAACCTTGAGGTTAGTTCAAGTTTAGAATGTTGCAAAGCAAAACAAGTATTAAAATCCACTTGCAGTTTTTGTTCTTACAGCTTTACCACAATAACAGTGTGGCTTGTCATCTTTATTCTAGAGTATTGCTGCCAAGAGGTGAAGGCCTCCTACCCATGACTAGTAAAAACTGTCACTTCTTCCATTATGGCTGTTTTATGCTTAAAATTCCCAAAGGTGAACACCAAGTCTCATAGGCAAGCCATATAAATCTAATCTGAACTTGTTTTGTTGTAGCAGTTATTTAAGAATGGTGTTTGTATATACAGTACATATGCCCACACTGCAAACTTTACACTCCTTTTATAATGGCACCATTTTGTCTTAATTGCAACCAAGAATATTTCCCTTTAGATCAGCAATAAGCATAGCTTGGCTTATTCCTCATTTTCCCCCCTCAAGAGAAACAAATCCAAGTGTGGGCATCAACCAAACCAATGGTATGTATAACTGAAATGCATTCTGTACAGTAAATTAAAAGTTTGCATGCAGTTTAAGCATTTTAAAGGCTATTTTCTTACATTAATGAACCTTCTGTTTCCATTTAAAGATGTGAAAGATATCTGTCATATATCAAGGGACTCCCCTTCAGACCCAGAGACAAATGGAATCAGAAAGACCAGGTACTTTCTTTCAGCTTTCTGCACATCTTACTAAATAACATGCAAAGAGTTCAACAGCATTCTTCTTAAAATGTAAATATTACTCTTTAAATGGGCATGTTAACCACTGAAAGAAGTCCACTCTACTATACTTTTCCATTACACTGCTTTCATTCAATCATCGGTAGTATAAAAAGTCAATTAACGGGATCAAGAGGCTACTTTATCCACTGGCAACTGTGTAGGACACCAAGTGTGCAGTAAAACAAAGGCCAACATATGTTTATGCAATATAGTTGTACTGATTCGGGTTTTCTTTATCTCTTTCCATGTAGTCCCTGTCAATCAAGGATTCTATTCTCTTCTTAAGGTCAGCAGGCTGTAAAACAAAGCACATGTCAGCGTTATTACTTGGCAGTCAATGCTTCTTGGTTCTTTCTTTCCACTTGAGCCAAATATCTATATTGTTTGAGATGGCTGAGGAAACAGAAATCCCACTTTAAAAAAGTCCTTTAAAGTATCAGAGCTTCTAAAGTCTGCAATGTGTAACTGATAGAACAGAAAGTTACAAAGTTAGCTATCACCTGCAGCTAAACAGATTTTTGCAGGCAGGGAATATACTTGCTGCTATTTGAACTGAACTCTAAAGTGCAGTTTGTGCATCATGTACCAAAGTGTTTCTATTTCTGACTTTTAGCCAGTAAAAGTACAAGTTTCATTTCCTCTTGAAGCAAATGAGTTGTGCAATAGTTTGTCTGCCCTGTGATTTTGTTGGGGGAGGAACTTTATAAAAATGCCTCATGATAACAAGTGAAGAAAATTATTTAAATGATCTGCTATAATCTTACACAACCCAACTGCAATTTATGTAATACTTACAGACCTGCAGGCACTCAACATGGTGATACAATGGAATGAAATAGCAGGACCTTTTGTTTTACAATTCCACTGATAGAAAGCACCATATATTTGAATTCCAACAATGCATCACTGTCTGTTTGAAAACCCATTTCCATTTGTACACAATAAGCCAGTCATTTTACATTGCAACTGTGGGCTTCTTCAGCTTTGAGACATTCACCAATATTTTATTTTTATTCCTATATATATGTGTGTATATATTAACCAGTATAACCTATCCAGAAAAACCACTGTACTTCAAAAGCATCAACCAAGTTAAGATTGCAATGCAGAATTGGTTTTGAGATCTGAAGCATTTTCTCCTTTGCTCAAGAACGCCCTGCCAGAACACTGCAAACAGTGGAACAGCAGCATACAAGGAGAGCCAGCTGCTCCCTTACTGCTAACAAACTCCAGGGCTGAAATCCTTTGGAAATAGATTTTAGTAACAACTGGCACTTTAAAAACTCCTGAAAGTGAGTATTTGCTCTAATACTAAAAAGATGCATACTTCAGACAGAAGCACTGAGGGCAGGCCAGGGAAGATAAAAAGAACTGATAGAGTTTCAGAAGTATTAAAATCAGCACAGCACCTTGACTGGGAATTTCAGCTGGTTGTAGACCTCTGACACGAGCAGGTTGTGACTCAGCGTCTTGCGCATCTTCATGATCCGCACAATGGCGGCGTCGATCTGGTACTGCCGGTCCTGGAACACCCTCTCTGTAGTGCTTGCCTGCTCCTCCACCTGAGGGACCCATTCAGAAAAGCTTTAATGAGAACACCAGCACTGTCAAAACAATTCTTTCAGTCTCCAAGACAATTCTCAGTGTAAGACAGTGAAATGCCTGCTGTCAAATATCTGACATAAAGCTTTTACAAATACGAAGGCTGATTGTCTGTTTAAAAACACACTTGTACAAAGATTTAAAACCTTTGCTCAGCTTTTACACTGGATGGCTGTCAGAGAAACAAGTCCACAGTGAATTTTCCATGTTCACAAACAGTCAGTAAAGCTCCATAGAATTATAAAGAACAAAAAGAGCATTTCAGAATTGGAACTTCTCTTAACCTTACTTAGAGACATCCAGCATCACTGGTGTCTTAGTACAGAGGCACACATTTAAATCACTGTTAGCTATGTGCTGACATCCAAATTACAGGTGTAACTCTGACAGAGATATCAGTAGGTACATGACAACCAGGAGGAAAAAAAGCTTGTAAAAGGGCAGGCAACAAAGTTCTTAACCCAAGGATCTAAACCCCAGAGATTAAAAAAAATATACCGTTTCTTTCATCTGAATTTGGTTGATTTTTATCCTGAAGAGCTTATGTCTGAAATCATCATTACATGTGAATTTATCACCATCTTCCACATCTTTGCCTTTGGGGCTTTTAGTCAGTACTCTGGCTTTGCCACAAGCCAGAGATTGAAGTGTCCTTCTCAGCTCTCCATCCTCTAAAGCAGAAACAAGTTGTTTAGGTTTTTTTAGTAAGAACACTTGGAAGTACTCGGTTGTTTTTGATACCAACCTATCCCAGTGGCTTGCTTTATCTCCTCTAAACTGAACTCCTCTCCTTCATTAAACATGAGCAGCACCAGTGTCTGGAACAGGGAGACCTGAAGTTCTTTTTTGCCCTGTCACAAGGGAAATAAACAGCTATCACTAGGCTGTTTTTTCTGGGGGGGTGGAGGGAAAGGAATGAGGGGAACATGAGAAACAAGTCACTCTTGCATGTCAGTTGTTTCACTAACAGAGTGTTATTTTATTCACTTGAGAATATGGAAGAATAGAGGTCACTGGTCACTTCTATTTACTATGAAATGCAGCACAAGCTTGAGGCTACAAGGCTGGACTATTCTATCCAGTGACCAAATTCACCCAAGATATGCATCAGATGACTTAAAGCACTGAGTGCTTAAAATTATAATTTAGAAGGCCTTTAAGTCACAATCTAACACAAACATTAGTTTAAGGAACACAGTATAAGGAACCTTAGAATCTTTGAAACAATCAAGTTTGATAATACTTGTTTTACCATTAACTTTTTATGAAAATTGTTGTGGTAAACATTCCTATTTCATGAGAACCTTGTGTCCATTAAGAAATACTGAAGGGGAATAACTGGAAACCCTTTCAAAAAGGTTGTGTTCTTGTACAATCCAGAATTTTTCTGTATTTTAGTAGTGAAAAGCTTACTGTGAAGATTCTCAATGCTATCAGATGAAGTAAGGCAATTGAAGAAGCATGGCTCCCTTTTTTTTCTCCCCACTATAAAAATGAGGGCAGTTTTGAATTTGGAGCTAAAGACAGTGGATATTTTCCCCAACAGGTTTTTCTTTCCCCACCAATACAGAAATCAGGTGCATGTTCTTAGACATTAACACATCAGTTTCAGAAACTATCAACATCTGGAAAAGATGTCAGGAGGTTAAAAGTAATTGCAGAAACAGTGTTAAGTTTTCCATCACAGCACAAAAAAGCTTCCCCATCCATCCCTAAGGTACAACCCAGACTTGCAATCAACAACACAACAGGAGTAACAGAAACAACAGACTCACCTCTTTAAATTCTGCTTTTAGCACACAGTGTCCTAGTGTTGACTGCCACTGGAGTTTCCTACCACTGTGTTTTCCTAAATAAAAGGTCTTGAAAATCTCCTGCAGTTTTACCATCTAAAGAAAGAAAAATCCCAAAACACTGAAACACAATTTCTACTTTAAAAGCATCCTTCCCTCCTCCACAATCAATTAAGCCTTAAATCAAGGCTTAGAATGATAAAGGGAATTGCAAGAAAACAAATTTCACTTTAAAAAGATAGTTCTGCATTTCTTTCTCTATGCACATTGAAAACCAAGCATCAGTGGATCTCAAGTTTCATTTCTGACAGGCCAATAGCTGTATAACCCATGAAGTTCATTACCTCTGGGGGCAGGTGGACCTCCATAGGCACATAGGTTGGCCAGTATCCCATAGTCAGAATATTCACTGTTAGTTCAATGTTGCCAGGGACATTCTGATTTTGCATATACTGCAAGGAGAAACAAAATAAATTGAAATAGAGCTATGTTAATTGTACATATTTCAGGTAGAACTGAAAAGTTAGAACAGGCATTGCAAGAGCAGAAAAGACAAATGACCAGAAGAAGTGTTTGTTGTATACACTGCAAGTTACATACAAGAAAATGAAGGTAAGAACAAGCACTTCTCTCAAGTTCAAAAGGCACTTCCACAAAAGAAGAAAACAGCAAATGTAGTGTTTTAGCAGGCTGAGATCTTATGAAGTGTGAATAGAGGAAAGAATGTTAACAATTGTTTGTAATCAAAACATTACAAAATCATCAGAACTAAATGTGCAAAAACTTCCAAGCCAGGCTCCAGAACACAGTGGTGTTAAAAATGTCTTAGAGCTGGTGTTAACATGGTTTGGAAGTTTACAATTCCTCTTATTGCTGTGGGTACTTTATTTGTTTGTTTGAAGAAGCTTCTCTCAGTTTTTTTGCTGAGGAAAAACCTTTAATAAAGTCAGTAATGTTTTCAAGAGCACAGATAGGACAGACAGGGCTTTCCCCCAGTACCTGTTTGAATTGTATCATTATGTCTTTTGAAAGCTCCATATCTTTAAACATTCCTTCAAGTTTGCTGGTGAAAGCAGCTCCACATTCTATAAAAGAGAAAATGTAAATATTAGAAATTATTCTGTTTATTTTCAACACCTCAGAGTACTTATTCTCAGTGCCAGAATGTACTTCTAAGCAAGATGACCTTTCCCACCAGGTTTCCTTACATAAAGACCTGGATTCTAATTAAGGAACAGAATAAGGTTACAAACAAGAAAAAGGGAGATGTTTTGATGTGGTAGCTATTTTGCAACCCAGTTGTTTTTCCACATGGATCTGACTGTTCATCCTTTGACTATGGTGGCCACTGGTCACTCAGATGAAATTCTAATCCCTATCAGCTGCCTTTCAAACTGTGTCCTGATGGCAGAATTAGATCAAGCTCTAAAAATCTCACCCTTACCACCCAAAGGCTCCATCCAATGAAACAATGAAGACCAGACTAGAGAACAACTAGCTGGCAGTGAATAACAACTGGAAGTCATCTTTTCTCTGAGCACATCCCTGATTTACCCAGCAGGGAGCCTCAACCCTATCCCACAGGCCAAGATACACTGTGCACTTTTAAGTTTCTGGGTTTTGGCTTTTCCTGTTATAATTACAAAACTAAAAGCAAATGAATCTCCTCAAAACCCACCAGTCATTCAGGACCTGCACAGAGGCTTCTGCCCTCATGGAAAAAGGAAATACCAACAGTGCTTCTGTGAAGGCCTGTTAAAACAACTACTTTCAAAAGAAAGCTGATGGACAGAAATGATAGATAAAAATGATAGATAGATATTTACCATGTTTGAGTTTAGAAAGCATAGATTTTTCAGCATCTACTGATGCACTCTTCCCAACTAATAGTCTCTTTGCTAGATCTTTTTTATAAAAGGCCTCAAAGACATCTTTTCCTGTAAGAGATGAGATTTGAAAGTGAACACAAAGCACTGCTGGTTTTAAATAAACATTACCTAAAAAGACCCAATTCAAAGCTCAGAAAAAACAAAAAGGGCCTTCATATGAAGATTTCCACATGTTTTGTTATTTGCAATTTGACAGGCAAAGTAGTTAGACAGCACTACACCAACAAAACACAGCCACAGAGAACAAACACCTGAAAAGGTAACCAGACTGCAAAAATAATTTCAAAATACCTTTATGTAACTGGGTAAACAACTGTATCCCCACCAAAAAAACCCAATACTTACCATATATGAATCTAAATATGATCATAATTTTATCCAGCATTTTTTCAAGTTCTTCATCAGTAGCTTCTTTGTTGCCTGCACGAAGCTTTGAATCTACATATTTAGCTAAAAGAGTGTTGAAGAATAGAGTTTAGCACATGCTTAATATCACAGTGAAACAAAACCTCTAAATCTAATATTATGAAATCCTGAAAATGGAAAGGATCCTGAATCACTTCTATCAGCCTCATAACAGCTACCTTGATACATTTTCATAGAGTTTATAAAGTTATACAAACATTATGGTCTAGTATCTTTTTCCAGATAAGCAATGACTGCATCTTAACTAAAAACATTTTGCCTATGAAAAAAAATCTTGGTTTATGTTGTGATCTCAAAGGAAAATCACTGCTGTTGCAGATTGACATGGCTGTAATAGAAGCAAAAAGATCAGATGAAAATATGTAAATCAGTTATTTAAATGTGTTGACTATACTGCTGAATTTCTCTAGCATATCATTATTTTATTTTAATTTCCAGTTTCAATCAAACTAGATTGTTTGTTTTAACTTCAAATGGGCTGGTAAGCACATTACAGTTAGAGAATTAATACAAAAAAAGGAGGGCAGAAAGTATCACTCCACAAGCTTAACAGCACAACCAATTGCAAAGCAGGTTTTCATTTATTTATTATTCACTGTGTGGGGAAATGATTCCAATGCAGAGTACCAGGCATGTAATGCACCAATCTGTGAGTAACATTCTTTGAAAAGCCAAGACTCTGTCCCCACACCATGAGAGCTTCAGTGCATCCTCAGCTTTCTTGCCTTGTATTAAACCCCTGACAGCTCTGTGCACACATGCTGGTGGCACAGTTATGTAAGCTTCTGAAAAATTCTAATTATTAGCAGTATTCTCATGTCTGGACACCAGCCAATTGCTGGAATGCCCAAATTCTGATGTTCTGCACTTTTTTTAAGCCTAGCCAGTTAAGTGATGACCAGCTTGCTTTTAATGTTTGATGCTACCCTCCCAAACAATTCCCTTGCATCAGGTGGCACAGCAGATCCCAGGCTGATGTGCACTGTGCATGTATTAACACAATTCCAGCATATCCCATCTGTAAGTGCATCAGCAACTCAGCACCCAAATTCTCACAGGAAAGAAATTGAAGAAAAATACCTATGAGTTCAGCTGGCTTATTTGGTCTTTTGTTAATGAATGTTTCAAAGGCTTCTTTCATGGCATTTACAAACTTCTCATTCTTGAGAAAGCAAACATCAATAATATGGTCAACTTTGTCTTTAAAATCAAGAAGTTCTTGGACCATGGTTTTGTCTTTTTCAGGATTAATTACTATGGTGCTACCAAATGCCTGCAAAATAAAACATATCTTTCAATTAGCCTGAATAATTAATTTAAATGACAAGAGTTCTAGAATCTTAAGTTACCTTTGTAATGTGTTGTTTCTGGTACTCTTATTAGTTCCAGTAACAACAAAAGTATTACTTTATTATGTATTACTGTATTATGAAGTATTTACTATATAATCATCCTTAGGCCTTGCACATTGATTCAAAAACAACTGATGAAAAAGTGAATTGATTGAGAACTCCTGTCTAAAGAAATGAAGTTTTGCAAGACAAAATTAACACATCCTTTTTAATCCTCTATATCCTCAGGTTTTACACAGGTAATGCTCCCACTACATTGGGTTTTATTTTATAGTACTCTTCCTTCACAACAACCAAATTTTCTGTGACATTTTCACTGAGAAATAAAATGAATCATCCTAACTGATATTCAAGTGCTTTTTGAACCTCAGCTGGTTGGTAACTTGAACAACCACTCATTCTCACAGGAAATTTTATTAGGAAGAAGACAAACATTCTGCCATTACCCAAATAAAAACTGAAGAAACATGGCTGTCCCACAAATTAACTAAAAGCAAGATTATAAAATTCAAATGTATTTGGAGTTCAATAATTAAACTGAATATTCAGTGTTCTCTTCAATAGAGCTAGAACAGTAATTGTACCTTTCCTGGGATGTTTCAATAGCTGTCTATTAAATAACATGTTTATAAGCAAATATCTTCAATTTTTAGAGAAATGCAATAGTTTACAGAGATGATTCAAGTATTTGTGTATGAACCCCAGTGATACAGCAGTGGTAGCTGTTGCAGAGCTCTAGAACAGTACCTTGATGTATTCAATCCAGTGCTGCAAGAGAACCTGGACTCCACCTCTCACACGACTGAATAACTGGTACAGAAGAGAAAGGTCTTGAATTCTGTTTTCATCAAGAAGGTGATTTAGACCTGCAAATGGGAGAATTTCAATAGAAATTAAAACCAGAGTAACCCAAAGAAAGCACAGCTTATTACCACAGTGAGGCCTCTTCAAAACGAGTATTTTTAATCGAACCCTTAGTGGTGGTATTTTTTGGGTTTTTATTTTATTTTAAAGTACCTAATTTAACAGTGAAACACAATATCTGGCTGAAACCTTAAGTATCTTATTACTGCACATGATTTTATTGCACTTAGGATACAAGTGCTTTATATAACAACCTTATCACTACATCTTTGCTTACTGCTTTACTACTCCCTAAAGATTTGAAAAGTTTACACTGTACTGATCAGCAGGAAAAATTCCTTGGCAAGACAGCTCTGAGTTTCAACTCCAGCTGTAAAATAAATCTTACAGATGCTTGAAGGCAATCAACTTCAAGAAATATCTTAACCTTCACTTTTTAACTTTCTGGAGAAGGTTTGATGCTCTACAGCAAGGTTCTAATGAAACAGATGGGCAAGCATTGATACTCCTCTCAATGAACAGTTTGTTACACATGTGCAGGAAGATGCTCACATACCTCTTTCATTCAGAATCTGGCTACTAAGGAACTGATTGTTTATTATTCAACTCTTGCTGCCTCTTGTTCCTATTTCCAGATGATCTCTGAGATAACCAGAGGGTCACTTGACTCCACAGAGACTATTGTAGAACTGAGGCAATGTATTCCACAGCTCAAATTATACTACATTTTAAAAATAAGCTGCTTTTTGTCAGCAGCAACTACTCAGTATCTCCCTTTTCTGTTACAGCCATAGTTCAAAGTGTACTCCTTTCTTTACCTCCAAGTCTTCAAAATGCCACTTAACACATTGAGCTTGAGTCTCCTGTTCTAATTTTCCTTTTGCTTTGCTGTGTTATCAGAAGACAGCACAGTGTCCCCTTATCTGCAACCAGAATGGCCAGTGCTATTTTGGGCACTGAGGAGCAAAGGGAGTTAAGGAATGGTGCAGCTTGTCCTCCCCCAGCACCCATGGCTTTCTTTCAGCACAGGAGCTGAAAGCCCCAAAGCAGTAATTAGAAACATTTCCATAAAGAAGAAAGATTACCTTTCTGAAGAATGGCTGTTAAATGTTCACCTAGAAGTTGCTTTTCTACAGTAGCAATTAGTGGCTTCCTACAGAAGAAATGTTTAGAATTACTTTTCCTTTTTCCATTACTGACAGTTTTAAATCCTTCTTTTGAGATTATGTTAATTACATTATCATTGGGAGTGCTCTAATTATCTGTGGCCAAAGACCTAAAATGATTACATACATTTATCCTTTTTCTCCCCAGTAAACAACAATTTTTTCTGTTTGCTGACTGATGATTTTAATTCACACAATAAGCCTGTTGTACATGACCTGCAGGCAGCTGGACAATGATTCCATCAGTGAAGAAGTTGGGGAGAATTCATCCAATAATCTGCCTAATCCTGTGTTGTGGGAGGACATTCACGTCTTGGGAGACAAACCAAGGACAGATCTCAAGTCAAGAGGTATTAAAACAAAACAGGGAATTGCCCACTAATACTGGTGTGGAAGAAGAAAGCCACTGAACAAGCTAAATGCTTTTAACAGCTGAAAGAGGAAGGAAATCAAAATGTAATAAAACACCTCTCTCTCAGAAAGGTTTTGATATCAGTGACCTACATTTTCTGTCAGACACAACAGCTGTAGCTTTGTGTTAGAAGACCTCCATCTGACTGTGTTGGAGGAAATCCTGCCACTAAGTACAAAAGATGGGAGAATGACATTATTTAAAAATTTCCCAGACTCAACACGCAAATATTTTTTGCAAATATTCAGAGGTTTTACCTTAAGAATATTCTATGCCAAGTCTTATCACTTTCAGGTAGGACAACAGTTGACTAATTACATTTCAGCAGGAAGGAGACATCTGGGCTGGGAGAGGCAGCCTATTCTTCTTCATGCAAATACTTAACATTTATGCCAAAATAACAGTGACTTAGAAGGAGAAAATGCTTTTAGCTGTGTGAGCCAAGACAGTGCTTCATTGTAAACATGGAAACGTGGGAAGTGAAAAGCATCTGATGGTCAGTCAATAACAGAAATAATTTGCAGCTACTTAAATGGCCCTCACCAGAAGAGGAGCCAAACAGCTCATACCACCAGGCCAAGGGAGATTGCACTTACTGTGTGCTCTGATCTAAGTAAGTGATTATTCTGTCTGCTTCTTCTTCCAAGCGCTTGTTGACATGGTGAAGATATTCTGGAACCTGAAAATGCCAGAGTAGTTTTGTATGTTAAATAAAACAAACAACAGAAGGGAAAAAGAGAGACAGTACTGGTCTGACAGAAGTAGCAGCTTCAGTTTTAATCAAAAATCATTGGCATTGTGACTGAAGGCAGCTGCACGTGCATTTCCTTTTCCAGAATACTGTAAAACAAAGTCCCATTACTGCCTTGTACACAAGGGCAGCAGAGTATTTCTGTTCCCTGACACTGCTTTGACAGTAGGCACAACAAACACTGTCAAACATCCCAAATACCTCTCGCTCCTGCATCAGCCTCTGGCCCTCTGCTGCATACAGGCGATTGGTCTCTTCCAAGAATCTGTGCTCGAAAGAGTCCTGATAAATCTGGGGAAACAACATGACACAAAGCCAGGGTAAAGCTTACTGAGCACCAAGTAAGAATTTGAGCTATTTACTGGTTTAAAGGTGAAACAGGTGTACTCACCTGCAGGTCAGAAAGCATGCTCAGAAGGCTTCGCAGTAAACTCCTGTCAATGGCCTCACCATTTCTTTCCCTCTCAATCAGCAGCAGAATGCCATCAATAGTTTTGTTCTGAACCTTCTGATCACTGATTATATGAGTTCTGAACAATTCTAGTCCCATATCCCTAAAAAGAAAGCAAAGACTGTTCAATAAATTGTTTCAGAATAAATCCCAGATATCTCTTATTAACCATGATCTAGATCTAATAAAGAGGCCAATACCAGCATTCTTCCAGTTCCTCATTCCTCTGCCTCAAATCACTCAAGATAAACAAATATATGAACATTAGAATAAACCATGACACTGCACCAACATGAAGCTACACATTTTAAACACCAATCCAGATATTTTTTCTTAACCATGTAACTTTTCCAAGATCTTTATTTTTCAGTTGGTTGCCAGGATGTTGGAACATCAACCTTCATGAGAAAAAAAAAATATCATCCTGGGTTCAAATTCCATGGTTATGGTGCTGGACAATATTCCTTTTTTGTCCATCACTTACTCATCTCTTATTCTTCTGCACAGCTTAGAAGAACTCAGTGATGTGACAGACAAGGATCTCTGCAATGACCATCCCAATTAAATAATTTCCATTAATTTGGAACTATGGGTATGGTCACTCTTAGGAAAAGTCAGGCCCTCCATCAATCTCTTCCAAAGTAATTCATGTACCAAATAACAGTAAGGCATATACTAATTATTAATAATAAGAGGAGCAGAAGTTGAAGTCCAAAAAAGCATATCTTGCTTTTATTTTAAGTAATTCTTTCCAACTTGAAATACTGTGCCTGCTAAGGCAGTTACTGGGCACCTCAAACCCTTCCTTGCACTTCAGTTGTGGACCAGACCCCTTCCTTTAACTGTGCAAACTGGAGGTTGATATTTACTTCACTGAAATTTGGGATCACAGGTATTCTAGAACAATCCTATAATTTATGGCAAATAACTTAAAAGTCTTCCTTTGCAACAAGCACTCATGCATTCACCATGTAATTTAAAGGTCACCATGAGGTTTATATTAAAAAAATCCATCTGAAAATCAGCAATATATAAGCAATAGTTGAAACACATCCCCAAATAATTTTATTTCTGCCCCCCCAAATAATTTAATTCTTTGTGCCCTTACCAAATAGATGGCAGCATTGAATTCTGCAGGACATAAGTTCGATCCAAGAACAGAAAGATACTTCTGATCATAATCTGTCACAAGAAGGAATAAAACAGCCACAATCATTTTACTCTTGAAACTGAAGAGCAACACCAGTTATGCTCAACAACAACAGGAAATCCCACCAATTGGTTGCAGGCAGTTCTTTCTTGGACACTGCTAATTTAATTATTTATTTATCCCTTGCAATCCCTGCAAGGTGATCAATGTGACACTTTGCATATTTCTGTATAACAGAACAGCTCCTTTAAAAATAGGTATAAAGGAGAAAGGTTTGCATAAAACTGACAATGATAAGTTAGGGGTGTCTGTGTGTCCAAGATCAGACCCATATGCCAAGAAACACAGCACAGGCATGTTATTTTCAAGGCTTGATTTCTAACAAACTAGATACAGCTGTATATCACAAAGAAACCTTACATAAATTTAAGACATTTTAGAAATTTGAAAAAAAAAAATCAAAATTAAGCAAAACAGGCTGACAAAGCAACTGGTTTTCCTTAAAAAGATAAACTTACCATTTGTCTGCAGTGATCTTGCCAGCATTTGTCTATTTTCTTTAGAAAAAGGACACTATCCAATGAATCCGTGAAGAAATCATTAAGAAAACCATGATTAATAGATGGTGTAAACAATGAAATGAACCAACTTTATTATTTTTTAAAGACACTTAGGGAGCACAACAAACTCACCTACTCTCAGAAAGAACTACCAGATAATTCCTTGTAACACATTTATTTTTATTTTTTAATAAGGGTCTTTGTGTTAATAGTGAGAAATCAAAATTATCAGAACAAATAAAAAAATTATCTAAATAATTCTGAATATTTTGTTTAATTCCCATCCCTGAGGAATGGAACAAACATACATATCCCCATACCTCGAAAACCAACAATACTCAATACATGTAAGAGCTTACCACTACACTGTAATTTCAGCTCATGTTAAGAGTTAACCTTAAGAAATAAATTCTGTCCTTCAAATAAATCTTTTATTCAGCTCTGACATGCTGCCAGACCCCCATTACTTTTCCAAAAAAACCCAACAGCTACTTGTTGGATGACTTTTCACTTATCTAAGCTTGGCAAGTTCAATATAAAAAAGCCTGACATGATAGAGCCAATGAAGGCTTTTTAAACCTTGCTGCAAATCCAACACAGATTTCTGTAAGATGTTAAAGTGTTCAGAATATTTACTGGTTTCAGAAATACCAGTGAAACTTTCTCAGAAACTTTTCAATGGTTACAGGCATAAAGGAACAAGTAATGTTCCCCTAGTTCCCACAATGAAATAAAAGCAAAACCAATTACACAAAGCCTAGGAATTCAGATTATCATGGCCTAATGTCATGAACTATTGAAAGAAATCCATCACTATATACTTGCAGGTAAAACAATTTTGGTTTGTCAACAGCTAAGAAAAGGATATTCTCTGAATTGGTGAATTTGTGCTTTAATGTGGTCTTCACAGATCTGCCTCAATTGTTTGTACAAATTTGCAGAGATCTTGTAGGAGCAGAGATTTTCAACAGCCTGAAGAGAAAGAGAAACAAATCTTGCTATATTCTTACATGTGGTTTTACAAGAAAGGAGGACACCCCTTCCCAGACCAGGATTCTGCTTCTCCCAGCTTTTAACCCAGTGAACTGCTGCATGCAAACACCAGAGACAGACATGGCACTGCAATGGGACAGGAGATAAAGGCAGGCTGTGCCCTGAACAGCTCACATATCACCAATTTTGTCTCTCATGTGGAACTGCAGGACTGGCATCTCTAAAAACAAGGATGGTACTTTAATATCTTCCAGTAGCTTGCTGGGCTTCATACCTCAAAGCAGTCACCTAAAGTATAATTTTATTAACTGCTGTGCTCTGCATGTCACACCGATATTAGTGGAAAAGCACTGCCAGATTAATTTAATTTTGCAGTCCTTTCCTTGATTAAGCTTCCCTCATCCCCAAAAGTACATATGTATACATATATTATCTATCTTATCTATCCATCCACCAACTCCCTGCCTGAACAAGTTTAATTATAATCCTGAATATTAGTAGCATGACTACATTCACAGTGACAATCCCAGATTTCTGGATCTCATCAAGTATTAGAAGAATTACCACTGTGCTCACAGTAAGAAGTGAAAAGAAGTTTAATGGAGCCATGTCTTGGAGACTGATCAAGAAAACAATCATTCTTAAGTCCATTAGTGTATCTCAAGACTTCTAAAATTCAAACCCATTGTCCAGAATTCAAAAGCAACTAAACAACTTTAACTCTTTGCAGGCTGGTGAAAGACACAGGAAGGGATTATTCTGTAAAACATCTGTAGAAGCTAGAGGAAAAGCATATGTGATTTTCAATCAATGCTTTGTGCCATTATTTACTTATTGGAAAATATTTCAGTTGCTAGTATGACCAACTCCTTGGGGGAAAAAAGGACTGGAAGGTAAAGTTTGTTCCCCAGCACCTGCAGGCAACCATGGAGGGACAGCATAGCTCAGAAGTGCACAGAGCAGATTTGTGCCATCACCCCAGAATATCTCCCAACAGTCCCAATGGAAGCACAGTGAGCAGCCACCACTAAAAGCACAGCAACAACCCAAATAGCTAAGCAAGAGTTCTTGGGTTCATCCCAGGATACCAGCAGGAATCATTCTGAGTGCAAGTGCACTACATCTAACACTGGCTCACACAGAGGAGTTAATAAACCCCAACCAAACACAAACCAAACCTCCATGAAAACCAAAACCCCACAACAAAACCATCCCACACAATAACCTCAAAACTCCCCAAACCTGCATGAGCTTAGTGTCAGAAGTAAACAGGTAGAGCAAGAGAGTGAAAGTGCCAATTAACCAAAACAAGTCTGAATGAAGACTGTAAGGAAAGCCAAAATTATCACCCAAGCGTACATATCTTAATATTTGGAAACAGCAACAGGTTTGACTCTCAGGCTCAACACTTAAGAATCACCAAACATAGAATAAATGATAGGAAAATGTTTCCTATAGTTCACTGCTCAGAGGAGGTTATAGCACTGCTAAAGTCTGTTCTGCTATTGGATATAACCAGGATATAACCTGATACTTAATTCAGCAGAACAAGAGGATGAAAAACACTGAGCTCGAAGAGCCTGATTAGAAATTCAGCAATTGCAATCTTCCTAGGCTTCTTAACTTCTTCCACTTTGCAGAAGCCAACTGAGAGCTGGGAAGGATGTTTTGGGTGGAACTTGCCTGTCACCTGCAGAACCAGGGTTACTCTGCCTTCAACCCACCAGCTCAGGACACCAGCAGCCTCTGTCCTGGGCTTCTGGTCACCTCATCCCAACACTGTTACAACTGCTGCCTACCAAACTGCACTGCTCTAAATCCTTAAAAGAATGAGCTTCTGCACTGGAGATGGACAAATGCATACAATTAACTCTGAGTGAAATAAGCATGTATTAACATACACCTCCTTTGATGGAGTGTTTATATAAAGGTCAGCTTTTACATTTGTCTATCAGAAATTCCAAAGTGTTAAACATGGCTGCTAGAATTGGGTGTTTGAACAAAGTACAAAACTTCTGCATCTTTGCTGATGACATACACAGAAATGTTTTAACTTTTAAGAGATTTACCCCCTACTGCAACATTATGCTTTACTTAATTACTAGTGCTAGACAATACTGATTGTATCTAAAATGTATCAACATCAACACATGTGAAAACTTCAGGGCCTCTAGCTCACAAAATGATCCTGTTCTGAATTAGTGGAAAAAATGTTCCTGTTAAGGGAATCTCACCTAATGATGGTGAGAAAATCTTAAGAGCCCTACTTCCTTTGTGTAACATGTATGCAGTTAGATGTGGTTTTCTGGTTTTCTCTTTGGTTTTTTTTTGGTTGCTTTTTTTCCCCCTTTTAACTGCAGCATCCACACCTGGGTGTCTGTGGTACGGAAAAAGAACTGAACACAACTCTGATAAGAGAAAATCAGAACTTTCCTGAAGTACTTGAATCTGATTGATTTAAAAAAAAAATAGCTATCTATCAGGTACCAAAGATCTAGATCTCTACTTTCAGGTACTAATATAAGGAAAATTATTCTATGAAAGAAGCATTCAATTCTGTAGTACATCAGCTACTCAAGGATGGGAATCATTTTGTTTGCTGAGGAAGAACAAAGCAACTATCAATCTTGGGTCCTGCAAAGAAATAAAGCTTCAGAATGTTTGCCCAGTGGGATTTTTCTAGCACAGACAAGAGTTAAACCAAAAGCAAGAAGTTTAACTCCATTAAAAAAAGAATTATCCTCTTTTGAGGTGCACAGCAGAACTTTTGCAGACTCTTTTCTATTTCCCCTCTATGTTGGATAATGGTGTCTGCCAAGGCATATTTGGGATCAGATCCTTTTACCAAGCAGCTGTTCAGAAATGACATTAGTTTAGTTAGCATCTAAAAACACTAGTGATTCCTTTTACTATTTTTAAATCAAGACATTTATTTTTAGATTTATATTAAAAAAAATCGTACTTCATTGCACTCTATTTCACTGAGAAGTATCTAAGTAATAACAATGTTGAAACACTGAGATTTAAAACAAAAAAGCTTATTTTTTGTTTTCTGGTCCTAAGTAATATTAAATTATGCTTGGGGTAAGATTGAGCAAAATAATTAAGCAACACTGTTAAACAGAAGCAAGTATTTCAATAGAACTCTGTATTTTTTAACAATTTTGGACAGCCTTCAAGCACTTAATTAACAGTTATTTGCTTCATTAGTCTAGAGTAAGTAATTTACAATACCACCCAGTACAATTGGTTGTAATTTGCTATCACTTCCACCAAGTTTTGCAAAAATAACAATACTATCTATTATTCTGACAAACTGTTAAAAACTAGTATTTTTAGTTAATTAATTGAACATTTCAAAAGAGTATAGTGATCTTCAAAATGCTGAGGACTGAGGAACAGCAATTAATTCTTCCTTAAATCTGTCCCCAAGCCTTGTACAAACAGGATTTTTCCTCATATACAAATGCAGCTTTTGTTGAAAAGAGGAGGGCATGGGAAGAAGAGACACTAAAAAGTAGTGGTGAGAAGGCTATATACACACACAGAGGAACAAATTAAACAACTAGCCAGGTAATGAAGGCTTTAGAAGCAGAGGAAAAAGTTCAAGAGCTTCTTAACACCCAGCTAAAGCAGCAGCACTGGTGTGCTGCTAAAACTGCAAGTGACGTTAGCAGGGAAAAGGTGAGCAGGGGAAATCTCCCCGGCACACTCAGCTGAAAAAGCAGAAGTGGAGCTTATAAAAAACATCAGGAAATGCAGTTCAATCTGATCACTTCCTAAAGTATTGAAGAGAACACAATCAGAGCTGTTGCTGGCAATAAAGTTGGATTCTCAATTGTTAGGATAGAACAAATGCTGCAATGCCTGAAAATTACAATCAAACCAAAATAATACAATTCATGAAGGAAAAATGGTGCTCTATTTACCTACTAGAAGCCAATAGAAAGTTTTTGAGTGATTTGTGATACTTGATTGTGAACAGATACTTTATTCAGAAAAGAAATTATATTTTACTATAAATCACCTTATTCTTAAACACCAATATTTGAGGATTTCAGCCTTAGCAGATAAACACCATAATCCCCTAAAAAGAAAAGGGAATATAGCTCCTTGCCTTAGTTAATTCTCATCAACTGCTGCAAGGGAAACCATACCTTGGGTTTTGTTGAGACAAGTAAAAAAAAATACATTAGTTTGATGCTACGTCTTGTGAAATTGTATTTCATTATGGAAAAATGAAGAAACTATTTGGTGACAAGTTTTTCAATGACAAAAGCAGCTATCAAGCAAAATGCCATATTCTTACCACCATCAAGTATTTTAAGCAAGGAAATCTGAGAAGAAAACAGAAAAGCCTTAACCCATTACTTTTACTTAATACACTTACCTGATAGAGCTCTTCTAAATTGTACTTAATTGAAGTACTGTTCTGGATAGCTTCTACAGCTTCTTTCAGTTTTTGCCAGGTTTCATCTGTGTAGTTTTCAGGCAATTTGGGTTTATCTTTAAAATAAATGATATAATGTTTGAGAATGTATTTAAATAAAGCAGAACCTTTAACAGAAATTAAAAGGATGTAGCTTTGAGGGATATGGGCTGATGGTCCAGCTTTTAATTTATACTTACATGGAAAGAAAGCATTTGTGTAAAAGCAGTATCTTATTCACATTTGAAAGAGCAACATTCAAGAAATTCAGCATTGCTTTTCATGTACACACCACAGCACTTGTAGCCCAAACAGAACCTGTGGTTTACAAAAATCACAATCCTGTGCCTGAGCAGCCCAAGAAGGGCTAAAAGCAGCCACAATGATCTATACCTTCCTTATATTCTCATTACCAGGACAGCAGAGCCAAAAGAAAGGAACATAAAAGGCAAAAATGATGCATTAAAAGATACACAGTTGTGTGTATCTCAGTTTTTAATTTACTGCTCATTAATTCTACTCCATATTAGGAGTCGGAAAGAACTCCTCAAGAAACACTCATGGAAACACTGTAATTATTGTACAGGCTTTATGGTCCCAAGGAAAACCTTCCAATTTTCAAGGAATCCATTTATGTCTCTCTTGGGTTTGGCCAGTGGATATTTTTTAGAGTTAAGCCTCTTTTAATGCTCAAACAGCTCCAGATCTGATCCTCTCTGTTATTTTTTGTGGCTCTTTTCTTGAGATGCCCCTGCTCTGCAGCACCTTCAGGAAGACCACAGCATTTACAACATGCTAAGATATTCCCCAAGTCACATCCTCAGAATATAAGAACTATTCAAAAATTTTCTATTCTTGTAACTACCTAAAGTAACCATTTTTGTTCTAATAAGGACATTCCTAAATGGAGAAGACAGAAGAAGAAAATCTGAGGAGGAAGATGACACATGCACATTCATGCTGCCAACAGGTGAAACTGGCCCAGAGTTTATACTCTATTAAAATTGACTTTTACACACCTAAAAGTACAAAAACAAATTTTAAAGCTTTATGATTTCGTTAGAAATAACTAACAGAGAGAAGCCATTATTTTGTTCTTCCAAGCATTTCCCTACAATATTGGCAATATCCCAACATTAGCTGCCTGATCTGGATCTAGAGACAACTGAGCATGGACTTGCCTATTTTCACCAGCAGCTCCTGACTCTGCTGCTCAGCAGGCAACACCAAGGGAATGGATTTTAGGAAGCTATTTAAGTGGTAAAGGATGTTATTGCTATCACACTAAGATAAAGACAAAAATCTTAAGATCATTATTCAGTTTAGCATCTGAGAGTAAAGAAAAAGCAAGGCTGTCAGAAAACCAAGGCATCCTTTTTAAGCAAGGTTCAAACACCAATTCATAAGCAGTGATGATCACAGCACTGTGCAATCCATGACATTTAACAGGTATTTTAAAGGTGAGAAGTTAACTTCCCTTAAAGATAACAGTGCACAAGCAACTGAAAAGCAGCCTATAATGCATCATAGGTTTCTATTTTAAAATAATCAGTCAAATCAAATGATGATGCTTTGATGGGCAGAGAACATTTTTAGAATTGGAACCTTAAAGCAAAGAGTTACAGTGTGATCATGAATTCCTGCAAAACATTACATTGAGTACTAATCCTTACCTAATGCAGTATGTCTACAGAACATTTGTGTCAACTGTGTATTTAGAAATTTATTTTAATTCTGGTAATATCTTTCACCTCTCCACAAACCAAAACGAATGAGGAGAAAGAAACAACCCAAGAAAGCAAGGTAGTGGGCTATGGTGGAAGAGAGCAAGAAGCAGGAAATAAAAAAAGCCCATGATAGCCTCATCCTTATAGGGAAAAATGGCAGCATTTTAGCTAAGCTTTCTGCCTACCTATTTGTATTTTTATTTACTAGAAAATGAAGCAGCATCACATCAGAAAAGTTTAATTTCTCTGCCTTGGTCTCTAGTAACACTACTCAAAAATCTCAAACATGTTTGGAGAGAATTTATAAAATAATATAAACTTGTAAAGTAAGAGTAAGCTAAGGCAAAGAAAAGATACTACAATAAAAAATTACAGTGGGGACATTACAAGGAAAAAACTGCAAAAATTTGCACTACCTACTTTAAAGGCAAGTGGGGAAACCAGAAAGGAAATCCACCATAATAGCCCGATAATCACCTTAGTTTCAACATTTAAAACTAAGCACAGGCAGATTATCCTATAAACAGACAACAGGGATAGAGACAAGGCATGCAGATTCAAGGCCAGTTTAAAAAAAAAAAAAACATTCTCTGCAAAGACTTATCATAAACTGGGCTAAAATATACACTAAGCTCTGAATCGGGATTACTGGAAAAGAGTTATCAGACGATAAAAGTTTAAACAAAGGAGATTTACACACTTAGACAGTAAAACCTGACACCTAACATACAAATTAAGGCCTTCTCAAGAGACAGAGCGAAGGGAGTCTGAAAAATAATTCCAAGCAGCAAAGTGTAGCCCAGGATGTGTACATGACCAGGCAAGCACACATCAGAAATCATGATTCCCCTTTACATAAGTATAGAAATGATCACCACAGAAAAGCAATTCCCACAAAACCCGGGGCTATTTGAAAGGAACCGGTTTCCAGGCTGAAAACAAAACACAAAGTCGAGTGCCAGATCCCCACAGGTTGTGACAAATTACGGCCTGTTACCTTTAAAGTTCTTGATCACTAATTTCTTGGCAGAGCCAGGTTTACTGTTGGCGAAACTGGAAACAGTAGAGGAGGCAGCTTTGGTCAGGCCATTTGCATGGTGCCCCACAGCCACTGACGAAATTAAAAGGCTTTTATTTTTAAGCTGTTGCTGGTGCTGCTGCTGAGAAGAAGCAGCAGGAGAGGAGGAGGAAGAAGACTCTTCAGCCATCTTCACATCGAGTCCAATAAAATCCACGGAGTCCTCAAAGCGCAGCTTCTTCTGGAGGTGATGGTTGGAGGAAGCAACCCCTGAGGAGGAGCACGAGGAAGTGGTGATGACAGAGGAAGATGATGAGGAGGTGTTTTTGGAAGGAGAAGAGGTGCAGGAGGAAATGGAATCAAATTCTTCTTTTTCGGAATTACTGTTGCTGCTGTTATTTAACTTTCTCTTCTTGCAGGAGGAGCTGCTGCTAGTGTTACCATCAGTGGCAGGTCTGACCTCCTGGGCTGCAGCTGGGGGGTTGGGGGAAGAGAAACCTGTGGGAAACATGAACACACAGAAGTGAACAGGCTGAGGGGCATCAAATCCTTGTGGTGTGACAAAGAGAGGGGGAGAGTTTGAGAGTCAGTCTCTGTTTGCTGTCTTTGGGGGGGGTCTTTCAACTCCTCCTTCTCATCAGCAGAGTCCTTCCGTATTCCTTCTCCTCCGCGTTCTTCTTTATCGGAGCAATCACTTTATCTCCTCTTCCCCTTTCCTTTATTACTTTGGTTCTTCTCGTAGTTTGTCGCTGCCTTTCTGCTTTTACTCCTTTCCCAGCGGAGCGTTTCCGTTCCTGCCTCTCGCCGCCCACCAGTTCCTTTCAATTCTCCTTTCCAGCCGCAGAATTCCCCACGGAAAGCCGCCCGCTGCCCCGGCTTCTCCTTGCGCTCCCCTCCTGCTCCGGCCGCCTCGTCTTCGCCGAGCAGCAGCGAGGAGGGCTGAGCGCGGCTCTCTCTCGCCTCGGCTACAGCCGCTCGCCCCACACGGCTCCCGCTCCGCTCCGCCCCGCGGCCGCTCCGCTCGGGCCCCGCTCCCCCCTCTCCGCCTGTGCCCGCGCTCCCTGAGGGGGGACGGCCCGGCCGGGTTGTTATTGTCACTGCACGGCAGAGGGAGCGCAAAAATGGCGGCGCATCCGCCCGCCGTGCATGACGGGGCGCGGCGCACGGAAGCGCTACCGGGAAGCGCTGGGACCGCCCCGGGATCCGCGCCGGGATCCGCCCCGGGACCCGCCCCCGGCCCCGCCTGCGCCCTCGGGCCCACCGGAACTGAGCGGGCTCCGTGCGCCCCGCGCCGGCGTGAGGCCGCCCCCTGGGGCGGGAGTGCGGGGCCCGGGAGTTCCGTTCCGGAGAGTTCCGCCCCGGGTCCCGCCCTGCCTCACCCGGCCTGGCCCGGCCCGGCCCGGCCCCGCCCGGCCCCGCCTCAGGCTCGCCGCAGGCTCCGGCCGCGCTCCGTGCGGTGCACGGCGGCGTTCGCGGCAGCTCGTTCCCCCGGAGCCTGCGGCCTAGGCCGAGGCCTGTTAGCTTGGTTTGGAAATTGTTTTTCTTACACTTATTTATAAACAATAATTTAGCGTCAGCTTTTTGATATGATTTTCATACATACGGGCTTGTACTGGGCTACAGCCTATGGTTTGCTTTTGTTTTATTTATTTTGTAACTTTTAGAAACAAGAACAGAAGTACTAGGCCTTTAGAGTCTCTTTTTTGATGTTGGTGGATCTGTTACCAAAGGTACAATACACTCCCCAGGAATGTTGTTAGGATTCAAACACTGTTGACAAATGGCTGTGGAAAAAGTAAGAAACCAAGTGATGAGGTTTTGATCCATGAGATTCTCCATGGACTTCAGCTCAGAGCACACACCTCATACACCAGACATCAGAGCTCCTCAGCACTAGACTTCCCTCAGGGGAAGTCTAGTGGCACTTTTATGTTGGATAGGAAAAGATGACAGCAACTTGACAGAAACTGGTACATAGAGATAGGAATGCAATGTTACTGAGGCTCTTCTGGAGTATGTTTTATGACAGACTCACTGTCAGACAACTCCTGAGGCCAGGAAGGTCATGCTTGTAATGTGTAGAAAAGTACATTTGAAAAAACCCCAGCAAAACAAAGCTTCACTTTGGTTTTGACAGTCAATGACTTTGTCCCATCAGTTAGAATATTTGGCTTTTGGATATAAGAGAGCAGATGGAGGCAAGGTAATGTTAGTTCTGGGGATCCAGGAAGAAGCCAGATGTGATGGATTTTCCCCCCTTTTCTACCAATACTTATGGGAGGGGTGAAATCCTAAGTCCTTTCTATTTAGCATGTCATCCTGAGGTGTGGTTTCTGTCAGGGCAGTTGCTGGATGTTCCCCTTGCTTTGTCAGTCTTGTCCAGGTACCATGCTTTTTAAATTTTGGTACTTAAAAGTGACCCTGCAACCAGAGCAAATGTCTCCAGCCTTTTGATGTTGAGGCTGAACAGTAACACTGCTTTAAGGTAGCAGAAGTGTAGAGGTAAGACCTTCTTCTTGACAAAGGCAATTTTTGAAAATTTGGGCCTAATCTTGCTGTTTTAGACAGGTGTGAAACCAGTGGCTCAGGTGACTTCAGTGAGATGTGCTGTCTTTCTCAGAAGGGTAGAAGTTTACCTTGTGTTTCTATCATTTGAGGTAGGATATGATGAATTTTTCATTACAGTTTTAAAAGATGTTGTTTGCACAGCAAAGTATTATTTGATGAAAGTTTTTCTGAGGATCACCAGAACATATGGAATAGTTTGTCAGTGTGATTAACTTCCATTTTTATTTTCTAATCCTGGGGATTAGCAGTGTCACTGTGTTTCTTGATCATCACTCAGTATTTTTAGTGATGCTACAAAGTAGATGAAGGTGGCATTCATGAATGAAATGCTTGACTATTTATGTAATGCTATAGTTAATTCCTATCCTTTTAAAAAGTTATTAGTGTGTTTGTTTCCAAAGCTGTACTGCACTGTTTGAATGATACCATGTATAAAGCTTGATTTTACTTTGTTTGGCTGATGTAACTTTTAAGTATTAGATTTTAATTACGTGTTATAGTATCAAAGGTGATTAAATTGTTTTGTATGGAAAAAAGAACTCGTTTGTTAGCACAATGGTAACCTGGTGTTTTATGTCCTCTCCTCCCTCCCCTTTATGCCAATCATGGCATTTCCCTGACTCTAAAAAGAGACTGGGTAATCACCTGCATGTCTGTTTATATAGCAAACACGAGCCTAAAGAACAAACACAGGTCTGCTTCTCAAAGAGTGAAAAAGCAGTGTGGTGAATTCTACCTGCCTATGCCTTTCTATTCACAATTGCTGCATCGTGATGGCAAAACCTAATTTGATTCTAAAAAACACTATGGATGGCTCTCTCCACCAGAATCCATCTGTCTGGATGAGATCTCTACAAGCCAGGCTTCTGCTCCCTCCCCACCCTGAAGATGTGGCACTGTCACTTGGGCCTGATTCCCTGCCCAGCTCCAGTACCGGCTATTTGACAAGAACTCTATTTTTTCCCCCCCAGAATGCTGTTGACAGTATCTTGTGTCCTCTGAAGCTGTCGCGAGGATAGCTTCTGCTCTGCTAGTTTGAAGATGGCTGTGTTTTGTCCAGTTAAACATATTTTGTGTTTAAATGAAGCCAGTAGCTATTAGCACTTCGCTCTTCTTATTTTACCAAAAAGCGATCTATTACCTGGGAAACAGCGCCGTGCCTGTCAGTACCAGGCAGCCGGTGGCTGTGAAAGCCCAATAATAATAACAATAATAACAATAATAACAATAATACTGTGTTGTGCGGGGGGCAGCGGCGGGCAGGGGGCGATGCGAGGCGGGCGGCGCAGGCACCGCCCCGGCGCTGCCGGCTGGCCCCGCCCGTTCCGCGGGGATGGAGCGGCGCTTCCGGCGGGCGCGGAGCGAGGCACGGCCTGGCCGGAGCCGCGTGTGAGCAGCGCCGAGGCTGTGGCTGCCCGCCCGCCGCCGGCCCGGCCTGCCCGCCCGCAGGATGTTCAAGAAGTGAGTGCGGCCGGGCTGGGGGCGCGGGGGAAGGAAGGGAAGGGAAGGGAGGGGAAGGGAAGGGAAGGGAAGGGAAGGGACCGGGCGCCCCCTCGGCCCCGGGCCCGGCGCCCCCTCAGCCCCGGGCTCGGCGCTGCGCTGGCGGGAGCGGCCCCGCGGCCTCCTCGGGCCCCGCCGTCCGCAGCCCTCGGCTTTGCCCTGGGTACTCGCTCGGTAAATGGAGCTGAGTCATTAACTTATCCCAACTTGGGCTGGTACAGAGCGCCGGTCGTGTTTCTGTGGTGGACGTGGAGGGTTCGCCTCGGAGCAGGGCTGTGGGTGTTTGTGTTGCCGGCATAGTTCTCTTGGAGTTGGGTAAAATAGCGCCATGGGCCGGGGTTTATCTGTGACGCTGAACACGCGCTGTGGCCGTACGAAAAGTTTAGGGGTGAAGACAGGCTACAAAGGGAGGACCCCCTGCCTTCCCCCAGCCCAGGTGTTCCCCAGGGACAAATTTAACATTAATGAAATCCTGCATTTGAAAGCTGGACAGTCAGTCTGCTGTTAGACCTCTATAGTGAATCTATAAACACTTCTGAAGATAGCTACTGAAAAATACATCTTTTGAGGAACAAACTGCATTTCTAAAACACTTTCATTTGACAGATTTGATGAAAAGGAGAATGTATCAAACTGTATCCAGCTGAAGACTTCAGTTATTAAAGGTATCAAGAATCAACTGATAGACCAATTTCCTGTTATTGAACCATGGCTAAACCAAATCATGCCAAAGAAAGATCCAGTCAAAATAGTAAGATGGTAAGTATCTCTTCTCTTCAACTTTGCTTTCAAGGTGCTAGGATTGCTTCCTTTGTATGTTTCCTTTGTACAGTAAATAAACCTACCACATTTGATAGGCGTCCATCATCTCTTAATAGCTAGTTAGAAAGTTATGCTTTAAAGGCCCATGCTAGTAGGATGCTTGAGAAACTTAAAAATGCTTCCTAGTAGCTAATGTGCAGTGTACTCAGGGTCTCTCCAAGGATCAGCCTGTTGTTGAAGGGAAGTATTCAGCTTTATGCACATGGAAGCTCAAAATTGTTTGGATTCCTGTCAGTAACAGTTTGTACTATTTTTGGGCTTCCATGTATTATCTCGATTATTTTACTTTTTTTTTAAATAGAGGGTAGTACATTTTTGCTGAATCCTCATTATTTGCTCTTTGTATTGCATTTAAAAAGCAGCGCCAAGGAAATGCAGTTTGTGTATTTGGTCAGTAGGTTTCTTTTTTCTCCAAGGGGGAAGAAGGAGACCACTGCTGAAGAACAAGTCATAAAAAAAGATAATATTTTTGGTTTTAAATTTTGTTGCTAATTGACTGTTTTTATTCTCAGGTGCTAAGATAGACCAGACGCCATTAAGTAAAATACTGTAGTTCAAGTGTAGAAGGGTTAAGTAGCTCTTGGATTTTCTTTTTTTTTAATCTTGCAGTCATGAACATATAGAAATCCTCACTGTGAATGGGGAGTTGCTGTTCTTCAGGCAAAGAGAAGGGATTTTTTACCCGACGCTAAGGTTGCTTCACAAATGTAAGTTTTCTGAGGGGGGCTGTGCTGGGAAGAGCAGGGTGACAGTGTGATTCCACAGGACATCTCTAGAAACAAATTAAAAAGAGCCTCCATTCCATATATTCCATGCAAATGCATGTTCCAGAATATGTTAAAGACACAGTATGCTTTCTTAACTGGAATTTATTAATTTTCTGTTTCACATGTCTATGCTAATTGCCTCCATGCTATATGCTAAGCAATCTGAACTTAAGTAAGAATTAAGCTGTGTAAAACTCTGTAAAAAATCTTGAAAGGCTCTCTTGGAACAGAGATATAAGTTTGTTATTGTTGGTCCCTGTCTTTTTTCTTTCAAGTCTTTGTATTATACAAATACTTGTAAGTTCTTACTAGAAAAATATTCTGTCTTCCTGAGTTTAATGATGTATATCTGTCTCCTGTAGAAACTTAGGCTGCATGCTTTTTACTTTTCACAATTCGCTCTTGCAATATTTTCTTGCTGTTCTGCTTGATTGTGTTACTCTGTTTTGAATCCCAAAGAACATTATTCAGTCAGAT